TTACTATAGCTTCTCTCAAAATATTTAATCCAATACTTGATCACATAAATATTTTAATCAAGCAGTAACACAATCCATTTATTATTTTCTTTCAGTCCATCCAAATCTTTATAATGTAGAAAGAAATAATAATTCATTGGTTGGACAGAATGGTAGTTTTTCTTTGAAATATTTGGAAGATCAAACTGTCAACGTTTCATGGTACAATAATGACACAGACTTACAGACTAGCAGCAGAATAACAATAAGGGAAGAACCAGCAGAAATCAGTCATCCTTATAATAATACTATTAAACTATCTGGTATAAAAACTATATTAACTATAACATCAATTAATATAACTGATCAAGGAAATTATACCTGTCAAGTATGTAACCAATATGGATGTTCTCGTAAAACATTTGAAGTGGATGTGGTATCGATGACAAAACAAATCGGTACAGGTAAGGAAAATTATTTTATGTAGTTAATCTTATTATGATTATGGCGTACCTATTCTCACCCTTGTAAATACTTTACCTTATTATTGACAGCAAATATCCCTTAATCATAAAGAAAGCTCGCACATTATCCCTATCAAAAGGGAACCCAGAAATGTTTATATAGTTGTATAAGTAGTGGTGCGTGGTGAATGCTTACTTTATTTTATTTTACTTTACATTATACTTTATAGTATGCTCTTTTAGGAATGTGTGACTTACTCTAAATCTAAAAAAAAAATCACACGAGCACAATAACTATTACAGCAATTTTGTTATTGCATTTTTCAATCTATACTAACCACTATTACTCGTAGAGCTGAACTTAGCTGCATATTTATATTTGTATAGATGCTGGAATAATTAATGTGAAGACAGTTGTTATTGGAGCTTCGGTTGGTGCAACTATTATACTGATTTGTATTGTAGTTATCATATTTTTCGTAGTATTCAAGAGAAGAAGAACGAAACCGAATGGTAAGATACAATTCAACTGATCGGCTCAGAACAGAATATAATATTGATACGAGTCTTTCGTGTCGACTCGTGTACCTCGTGTAAACTTTGAGTTTTTTTTCATAAAAAATTTGTTATTTTTACAATTTGTACCTCAAAATTAGTTATTTATATTTTTTTCACACGTGTGATTTTGTTATCTTTCAGTTGAGATGGAAATTATAAAGAATGATTTATATATAAGTTCAGATCCACTGCAAGTATTTCCATTTTTCATAAGTCCAATCAAAGGCAGAAAAGTTGCTCTAAGCTAAACTTAGTTTCATTGAATTTATAGTACTTTTTATTATTATTATTATTATTATTATCATTTGAATTCGAAATTTGTACATACGCTTATTTTCGTTTTTCTGTTTCTTTGTTTGACATGGAAAATTTAGGCTATAGCAAGCACTTGCTTTGCTTCATATTATAACCATACAATTATTAATCGCCACTATCTCTCCATGTGGAGAAACCAATGTCCGTCTGTTTGTCTGTTACATTTCCTGCTAAACCCTCTCGAAATTAGTTTTAAGTCAGTTTTGATAAAAGTGTATACATAGATAAAAATAAATTTCGAATTTGAGCATTTTTTGAGCGAAAGACCTCTGCTATCTCGCATATCGAAAAAGTTATTGTTCAGTTATTTTTGATTTTCACGATTTTCATAAAACTTGGTATGTATGTATATGATCCAAAAATAAAGTACTCTCGACTTTTAACCCCCTATACAACCCGTGTATAAGGAAGTGAAATAGTTTTCATCCGGTTTTTACATTACTTTGAGTATGAAAATACTCAAAATATGAAGATCAAGTGGTAAATTTGGCTGAGACAGAAATATAATAAAGTCAAATCCATTGTTAATCATGTCCGCGACAAGGGAAAGTGAAAATGCAATATACGTACCTATAGTCACTTTAAATATTCTATTTATACTTAACCTGATGTCACCAACACTGTGCATAAATTAATGTACCCCTAAGGCATTTTGTTGCGTCTCCCCTTAGCAATTGAAACCGGTAGATTCGGCAAACCCTCCCACACCCTGAACGAGAGACTGTTTTTTTAGCGTTTTATCGTTATCTGACCCATTTATGTTTCTTTGCAGTCTACATCGTAATATTTTACTCTAATTAAACTTGTACATGTATTTTTTTGGATTAGCTTTAACAGTAAGTTGATGTTCTTATCTGTGATATAGCTAAATTAATATTTAATTTTATATGTTTTTATATAACAGATATTTATGTTTTGTTGATATTATTTTAACTTTTTTTAATTGAATTAGACCATTGTTTCCTAAGCTAATCTGACTGGACAGCATTACTATTAACCTCGTATATTTGTATATTTATATGTTTTGTGCTGTGTGACACTTTAATAAATAAATTATTACAATTATCATAAAGATCAAGTGAGAAATTTTACATTTGCAACGATTTCGAAATAGAACTAATATGACTGCCATTACTGAAAAAGTTGTCATTTTAAGTCGCCATTGTAACACGAGATAGTCAATAGTAATGTACAAATTTATATAAAAAAAATCAAATTGATTCAATCATAAAATTGTTGAAGAATATAGTCATACTGAAAAGAACATGTTTAGTTACGATTTTAAAAAAATATAAAAATTTAATGCTAGGTTACATTTCCCTCTTGGTAGTATTACCTCCAGATTGAAAACCCCAGCTGTCTGTGACATACTGTTCTGATCGTTTTATGCGCTGCTTATTTTATCATTTTCAATCCATACTGTCATTTATACATGTATTGTTATTGATATTGATTCAGTCGTTCAATATATATTTTAAATGATGTCTTTCCAAATGAATTGTTTTTTTTTTCTCTTTAGTTTTTTTTTTTATTCATAATAACGAAAAGATTTTTTCTCACCATTGATAAATGCAAGTGGCATTTGGTACAAGTCATTCACAGACAAACAGATCATTGCAATATTGGATTCTCAGAAAAGATAGTAAAGCAATTGCTTGAAAGATATCTACATTTTTGAATAAATAAAGTTAAGAGGATCTGGAATGTTACTTTCATTGGTGGCTACACAATATATAGAATTAAGAATACCCAACAGAATCATGTTCTGATAGAGTTTAGATACTTTTTAACAAATTTTCTCGATAAATATATGTCTGAATCTACATATCTGTTACCTATGGGTATTTCTTTCTTGTTTCTTGTAATGTGTACTTATTGTATGAAATATATTTATTATTATTATTATAATCCTTCCGACTGTCACCATCCATAATCAGATTCCGTTCTATTCTGTCTTTTGCGGAGTTAAGGTGAGGTATTATTCAAGCTTAAAGCTTAAAATCACAATGGAAATGTTGAGTCCTGTGAGTGGGTTGAAAGCAGACGGACAAGGGTAACATGACCATAAACCACTTTCTCTCTTAATCATGTTATTATACATAACCTACATTGATGATGACAACATCCTTCCCGTTATTAACATGAATAAGGAAGTAAAACTTTATTAGAAATTGGAAGAGATTTTATATCCATGGTGTTGTTTCAACATTAGACAAGTTTTATACTATAGTAATTAGTTTTTGAGCTGATGGCAATGAAATGGGAAGGACTAATAAGATAATAATATTAATAATAGTTAACGTTTTGAAATGCTTTTCAAGTGAGTATATAATTAAGGTAAACATAAATTGAAAATAATGTTGGTAAGAAACGCATGCTTCAAAATTGACATTCAAGCTTCCTGGTATAAACTGCAGGACATTATTTTATTCAGAATTCTTATTATGTTTAAATTGCAATCATAGTATCAATTGAAGCTTCAGGAAATGCAGTTCATGGTGAAAAATCGATTAAAAATGTACAGAAAGTAGCAGTATTCATAATCTAATTTTGTTTCAAATAATCGAATTATTGTTTTTCATTATAGTATCACTTGAAGCTACAGGAAATGCTGTTCAAGGTGAAGAATACACGTTAAGATGTATAGAAAGTAGCAGTAAAGTCATATGGTATAAGAAAAAAAATACAATTGGCTGGTCTCAAGACACATTTAGTAACCCTTCAAATAACACTGGTTGTCTTTTTCATAATAACTCATCTACAAATTTCTATAAATTTAAAGAATGTGGAGTAAAACATGAACTGACGATTAATTCTGTAGATTTTAAAAGGGATAATGGGGTTGATTGGTCGTGTCAAAGGTATGAAGGTGGTGGTAAAGTGGCAACTTTTACTGTGTTGGTGAATGGTCAGTTGTTTGTTTTCTCACTTTATATCCGCTTTATCCTGGAACCTATTTCCAAAATTTTTAAATTTATTGCATTGCCAAAAAGGCGTAAAAAAAGAAAAAAATAAATATAACCCGATATCGTTTCATATACAAAAGAAAAAACTAGATAATTATGTAAAGTAAAATAGTATCACTTCATGAGCATCTTCAAGACAACGTAGCTTCCAATAGCCAACTGATATCATATCAAATCCAGTGTACCTTTTCTTTTTCTTTTCTATAGTTCCACTCAAAAGTGTCGAGATGCGTTCAATTGATCTAGATGAAGATACATTAACAGCACACGAACAACGTCAAATTCACATAGAGTGTGTTACCGAATCTGCTCATTCAAATATAATAGTTGTCCTTCAAGTTTGCAATAGTCGATGTTTTAATTACACAACAACAAGTGACAAACAACCATCAACTATATTTCGAACGTCACTTAATGCAACCCATCTATTGGACAAAGCTACATTACAGTGTATTGCGGAAAGTGCATCAGGAGAAAATCGTGTAACCTCAAGTATGGTTGTCTTGTACGTGTTACGTAAGTCAAAATTGGTCAAAATTACATCTAGATCTTTTTCCACAAGAACAATTAAAATTGAAGTACATTTACATGGTATATCAAACGTCAAATTTTGTAAAATTAGCCCCCATTTCCAATACAGCTGTCCTGGCTTTGTTGTTTACCTAATACGAGGGCAGCATGAGATAGATTTTAGTCAATTAAATTTACTAATATTCAACTTACATAATATGATGATATTGATGTCAATGTCGTAAAGAGGGTGCTATTTGCTTTGATATTTCAGACCATCCTAGGATCCGAATCAGAAAGGAAGAAGGACGTTTATATTGTATTGCTGAAGCTCGTCCAAGGAATGTCACATTTCTACCATGGAAACATACTTTAGATAATATATTAGTGAGAGAAATAGAAGGCTATTATATTAATACTACAGTTTATAGTTTAAATATCACAAATAGTCAGAATAATGGTGGAAATTATACTTGTACTGTTAATAATGGTATACCAGATCCTTATACCAAACAATACTATCAGATGGCATATTATAACTTAGAACTTAAGAGTAAGCAGATACTTTCAAATACAACTCCAGCTCAATTAACATTGCATTGCCTAATGGAATTGGCTTTAAAGGGATTGTTAAGAAGTTTTAAAGAAATTTTATTTGTATCGGGGACAATAATAGCATCAATTTTCAATCGGACATCTATGGTTCTTGCAATTCCACTGAAACTAAGCGTTCAAATGTGCATTATCACATAAGGCACTTCACGATCAGTGACATCATCAAACACTCAATTTTAGAGGTATTGCATAAACCACAGACGTTTGATTAAAATTGGAATGGTAGAAATCAGTGTCCTCAGTACACATCAAAATTGTAGAAAACCTTTTTACCTTTCAGTAAACCTGGGTTTCATAGATATAAATGTAGTAAATGTGTGGAATATATCTATGATTCACTAAAATGTCATTTAGACTTTACAGAAGTTTACTATAGCTTCTCTCAAAATATTTAATCCAATACTTGATCACATAAATATTTTAATCAAGCAGTAACACAATCCATTTATTATTTTCTTTCAGTCCATCCAAATCTTTATAATGTAGAAAGAAATAATAATTCATTGGTTGGACAGAATGGTAGTTTTTCTTTGAAATATTTGGAAGATCAAACTGTCAACGTTTCATGGTACAATAATGACACAGACTTACAGACTAGCAGCAGAATAACAATAAGGGAAGAACCAGCAGAAATCAGTCATCCTTATAATAATACTATTAAACTATCTGGTATAAAAACTATATTAACTATAACATCAATTAATATAACTGATCAAGGAAATTATACCTGTCAAGTATGTAACCAATGTGGATGTTCTAGTAAAACATTTCAGTTGGATTTCAATGAAGATAAACGTATGGAAGGTAAAAATATTGCTTTATGGTTCTGGGGAGGGAAGCGTTTGTCGGTCATCTCCCAAATGTACAGACTTAATGACCTTACATGCTTTCGAGCAGTGATCGATTAATCGGTTAAAATGTTATTTTCTTGGCAGACATGGTGATAATATATTGACAGAAATGGTGTTAAGATGCTTTTGTTGAGATTTGTCTTCCTTGGATGCAGAATGATTAATCTTCAGGTAATAATGTAAAGTTGTCTTAATCGGCTCATACTCTTATTTTCCAGCTGATGAAATAACCGATATGGACACAACAGTAATGGAAATTTTAATAGGATTAGCTGCACTATTTACATGCATTATAGTCATTGTCATTTTCATTGTCTACAAGAGAAGAACGAAATCAAAAGGTGGGCTACTTTACTAAAATTTTAATTTTAAATAAAAGTAGATCGAATCTAATCGTATACGTTTCTGACATTTTCAAATGCGAGTTCATTTCATACTCCCGTGGAAACCCTTTCAACTATTAAATATGCGGGTTGTTAATTTATAATACTTGCTAATCTCTAACGGGTCTAATTCTTACTGTTACATATATAAACATCATTTCAGGACCAATATTACCAGTCATTACAGAAAATGAACTTTATATCAGTTCTGATTTGGTTTGTGATCAACCACATTCCTCTAATACGGTTCCAGTTCAAAAACCAGGTAAATTTTAGTAGCTGAAAAGTCATATTTTTCAACTTTGTAACTTTGCAGAGCTATTGAAATATTGGCAATCTTTGTTCATTGTACGATAGGCCTTGCTGTGAGTTACTCTTTATTTCAGTTGAAATGGAAATTATAGAAAATGATCTGTATGTAAGTTCAGATCTAGTATTTGATGATAATAAAAAACAAGATTTTCCAATCTATGGTCAAGTCAATAAAGTAACATGTAAAAACAAGACCCACGATAATAAATCTTCAATTGGATAATGCTTGATTAGAGGTAAGAATAATTCAAAGAAAATTTCAAGTACTGCGCTTATTGTTTGCTTATCGAAAGGGTAAAAGTTTCTAAGATGTTTATTTCTTGCTATCCTGATTTTAATTAATGGTTCATGATGGGTCTTCCAGTTTCATACCTCTTTTAGAATATGTATGACACTTAATGGCATAAATGTCATTGACATCAGATCAATGTTAGATGGTGATGAATATTGAACATTATTTGAATATCTTTATTTCTTTCAGCTTGTAAATGGAGACAATCTTCAACTTCTTTAAAGGAGCATGGACTTAAAAATGGATTACATTTGGATTCAAATAATTAATCGTTATTGATAATCTACGTATATCTGCTGCATTTTTTCATTTTGTTTTTAATATAACTATCTAAATATTTTTTTCAACTTTTTGCTTTTAAGAATTTTTTTATAAGGGACCCATAAATAAAAAATCTACATAAAAACTCGTTCACTTTATAACTAAGCATTGAATAATTCAATATTTCATCAATAAGCCGAAAGTTGTACAATGATGGTCAGAAAACCTGTTTGCTCCATGATAAATTTAATATAACAGTAGTTTATAGTTTTCATTTTGAAATTTTCATCATTTTTGTTTTGAATGTGACAATATTTCGATAAACATTTAATTTGATTATTTCGATTTTTGTTTGTGGGTGCTGCCCACTGCTCAAAGAGTATTGAAGATGGGTTCCCTTATTTTCATATTTGAAAATGAAAATGCCAATACTTATATGAATAGAAAGTGTGGGTGTTCTAATGACTTGGAAAAATACCAGTTTGTCTCACATGTCCATAATTAATTCATAATTAGCTAAATTACGAGCAGAATTCCATTGAGTGATTGTTCAAGAAAGGTCAAAAAGTCTTTTTTTATTTATCCACAATGTACATTCATGGACATTAATGATTGGTTAAAACTATATGCAATAAGAACATTATGATATGATTAAGAATACATGATAATTCATTAGAAAAAACAATTAATCAAATATTTTGCTTAATTTGACACTGAAAAATAAGGAAACCCATCTTTAAAGGTTACAAATTTGTTCTGTGCGGAGGGGACAGCATTTAAACAGTCTGATGGCAACTAACTGTACACCTTGGCTGTTATGACCAAGTTGATTTTAAACCCTTCGATAAGCTAATCTAATTGTGGATTAACGAATATCCGACTTTATTAACATGATTAGGGATTGTTCAGATTATGAGATACTACAGGATTAGCAATGTCGTAGCAACTGGTTACTATAGAACCAACCTCGTTGATTTAGCCTATAAACATAAACCTAAAATTCGGTAGCTGGATATTTTAGTTGTGATCAATTGAAGAAGACAGGTGTAGAAGTTTCAATGATGGAATATTTATATGTCATCCTTCTATTGATATGTTGGACTTTGAAAGGTACGTTTAAGTTACTTTCCAAACTTTCCGTTTTTATCTCTGGATCATCATGAACATATTTCCAAGAGTCAACACTAACCACCCTTCGACACTAACGAACTTTCATGTTTTACAGGCGAAGCAGCATGTACATTTCCTTCTGATATGATAGATTCTTGGGAGACCAGCAGCATGGGAACATTGACTTTTATCAGTGATTCTCAAGTCAGCATACCAGATGTACTAGGTACAACTCGGACGTTTAATTGTCATGTTAAAACAGGATCCCAATATGTTCTAAGGTAGGCCATTTCTTTATTTGTCTCTGTTGAAATGAATCGAATCCGATGGAATTAAATTAAGATCCTACTAGTCGATTACTTTGAGAATGCCATTAGGCGTGAACAGACAACGCTAACTCTTTTTGAATCTCGGACCTCAATGGAGCATGTACCAAACTATTCAGTCGTAAATCGTCGTAAACTATACCTGACATATATTTCTAAAATATGCTATTTACATGTATTATCTACTTGATCAAACTGAATTGTTTTTAAAGGGTTAATTAAAAATAGATGTACTAATTGATTAAGTAAGCAGCTTACACTAGTTTTGGTGATGGGCCTCATGGTTATTTTTTGTTCAAACCCTTTGAATAAGTTGAAGACATATTTTTCTGCAATTGGTGGTTTATTTGCTTAAATCTTAGTAGTTTTCTAACATTTGCCGTAACGCATTACGAACTAATAAGGTTAACGTTTTAAATAGTTTTAAATAATTAACTGCAGGGTTTTTATTTTTATTTTTTTTTTTTTTTTTAAACTTTCAGATAAGATTTTGGTCTATATTTATCACAAATTTGAATTTTTAGACCTACGAAAAAAAAAAACTATTTTTTTAAACCAGAACATATATGTTCAAAATATGTTCTAATAATTACAGTTAAATTGTAGATCAGTAGATGTGGTGAATACTGTATTTGGAACAGATCTGTATGGAGCCACCTGTTTTGAGTTCACTGCAGTTACGACTTCTGTAAAATATAAATATTTCCACGCAACTCGTAAGTAAAATTATTCTTTTTAAGACACAAAAAACATAAATGATGGTTTAAGTTTTATGCTGCGAACATTTTACTAGTAAATGTCGTGTGCAAAAATACTGTTTTGTTTACATTTCCTATTCTTTTAAGAATTGGGTGATGCAGTGCACGCAGATGCTTGCTTTTCGAACATAACCTATTTCTATAACCTAATCTGAAATAAACATTTAGTTTCAATGACAGAATCTTGATTACTTTCAGAAAAATCGGGAACATCTCCTTTCCAAAGATTTAAATATCCACCATCAACTACTGATAGTACAGCCGCAAATACGTGTGATGAAACTGCTGCTAGTGTTGGGACACATGATTTCATGATAAAGAACGGTAAGTTGTTAATTAAACCTTTAAATAAAAGAAAAAAAATATTGAAAAATGGAGTACACTAATAATTCATGTCTCACAAACTAATTCAACTCTATGTAAAACCTTAAATTTGTACGCTTACATTTCTGATGGAGTTTGGGCTAATGACAATAACTAATGACAACAACACAGCGTTACGCATATCTATGTTATCGAAGTTTGTGGTTGAAAAGAAGAAGACCTGAAATAATTTTTTCCACTACAGATTCCATCTCATCAGCTGTTACAAGATGTCCAGATGCTATTTTAGGTATCTATACCTCTACTGTTGATGGACAATGCTCATCCAATACAACATTAAACGTTTGTTCAAATAAGGAAAAATTATCCTTTGATACCACTTACTGTACCAATAATGTTGCTTATTCAAGTAAGTAAAGGACGATACATTTATATTTGTCAGATAAATTATTTTAGTTATCTTAGGAATGGGTGGAATTGTCTAGTGCTATTATGGTCACGTTTCAACCTAAAGAAATATATTTTAGTGACACTAAAGGCTGCATAGTTTACAAAATATGTACCGAACGTTAATACCAGATCCAAATTTTTTAGTTGCAAAGCACGATAGTTACCATGGAAGATCGTACACTGTAGGAACACATCAGATTTATATTTTTTCATATTATGATATGAGATGATGTCATGTTAATGTTTTAAACTATAAGCTATTATATAATATTGATAAATCGTAATTGATAAATATTTTAGGTGGCGGTGATTTGAGTTGTGTATACTCGGTTGTTGACAATGGAAATACATTTCTTACATTATATAATAATGACATCACAACTGATGAGTCTAACACTTACAAATTTACGTGCATGGTATGTATTCAGTTGGAATTTGAGTTTTTTAAATTCTTCTTATGCTCTCTAAGAAATGCAATATGTTTATCGTTTTATGGAAGGTCTTACTATGAACTATTGCTAGACAAATCTTTGTATTATATAATCATCTAATGTACTGTAATCAAGTCCATATCCTTAAATGGTTCAGAATATGATCCTTACTTTTCATATAGATGATGGCAATAAATGGAACCAACAATATCGTACAAGCAACTCAAAGTCCCCAACATTGCCTGGCTGCACAAACGATTGACACTTCTGCTGGGACAGTCGTTGCAATGGATTTCGAAACCAACGGTAGGTATTTATATAAATATATTTAAAGACATATATTATTTGAAACAAGAACAAATCATTCAAAATATTACACTAAGCTGTGACCAAGAACAAAGTAAGAAACGATCAACTCAACAATAATTTGTAATTGGTGCTAAAAGATTCGAAGCTATAAACCATGTAGAATGTTCCTTTGTGAATACATCATAAGTATCTATATGGATCAGCCTATTACTTAACATGAGACAAATATTTACTTACACTTTTTCTTTCTTGATATTTCAGTTACCTGTGGTAAGTACAACATTGCAATTACTAGTTATCGTGTGGTATAAAAAAATATTTTAGTCATTTACCCTTTTTGAGTGGAACGTTTTTATTTTCTTGAATCTCCAGTGTCCACTGCTTGACTGGCTGAAACTACTGCATTCATCGAAGCATCCCATTTAACTTGTACAGTGATTTCTTATACATTTTATGGATATTACCAAACTTATTTTTCACTCAGTGTGCCTCTTACAAGTTTGTAAAATAATATCAATGTTATGTTTTTATTATCTACAGTTTACGATACCACCACTGCTGGGCCTACGACAACTTCCGCCTCACCACAAAATGAATCACAAATAGGTTCCGCATCAGTAGCAGCAGGAGCATCTATTGCCGTACTTGCGATTATTGTGTTGGTAGTACTGCTCCTGTTCTTCCTCGTATTTAGAAAGGGTGCGCCATACCCGGCTAAAAATTGTGGAAAATGTAGTGAATCTCCAGCATGTAGCCGCTTTCTCGATTGCTTGTCTTGTCAATGCTGTTGTCCAAAACGAGGAGGTAAGGTCCAGCCTGATGCAGAATCTGTCCTTACAACAGAAGAGATCGGTGTTACAGCTAATGACGATTCCACTCAACAAGTCACTGGTAATGGACGTGAAGTTGAAGTTATCCCTGCTCCCGCACCACCACCAACCAAATCTCTTGAAGAGATTACTGCTGATATTAAGCCCAAGACTCTTGCCCCAATAGAGCAAGAAAGGTCCCACAATAACGTCGAAGATGCTGATATTAAACTTCCAACGAAATTACCACCAATTGATAGTCCAAGAAGCGTCCAAACAAAGGAAGTCAAATCAGCACCAGAGACAAAGAAGATAGAAGAAGTTTCAGAAGAACATTCAACAGAAAAGGTTGCATCAACAGCACCAGCTGAAGTATCGAACGAGAATGAGAAGACTGAAAACTACAACAAAACCGAAGAAAATGAGGAAGTAAAAACAGATGGTGCCACAACACATTCTGCTCCGGCTGAAGAGAATTCATAATCGCCGTACATTACAAACTTGGATTCTTTTATTTATACCAAAATTTTTTGTCACCAAGTGCATTTCGAACTGAAAAGTGTGATTTATTTATTGTACATATAATTTGTTGATAAGATTTGATCATTTTATGATGTTATTTTCATGGAATATCTGTATATATACATCCATTATATAATTTATGTACCAATTCATAAGAATTTGTCTAACTAATAATCAGCAATATTTCAGGACAGGAATCACAGATCACAGATTGTAACATAATTTATTTCATTTAACAAAACGATAAAATAGCTCAAAGTAAAAATACGTACCCATGTTCGTTCAAGATGTCCTTTTCTGATCAAGTATATTGCTGGCTAGTAGAAACCTGCCTAAGAAACGCTGTTGTTAGTAAGAAACGCCGTTGTTAGTACATTTGACAAGTCCCCATTTTGAAAGTGGACCAGGTCTTCTATATTGGTAATTAATCAAACCTTGTACAATCGTTGCATTCAATGGTGAATTGTGCTTAATTTTTCATCACTTCCGATGCTAAGAAATAACCCGATCCAAAACTAATTGTTCACGATAGAAATTGTTAATAGTCATGTATATAGTATAGTACATTGTATATTGTTATTATGGTAAATAAATAATTGTGATTTTTCTGAGGATGTTACTTTGTATCGATTGGGCAAGAGTGTGATCTATGGGTAGTTGCAGGACAGACAAGGTTATATCCAAATTGGGCCTAAAATATTGACCAATAAGCTCTCCCAACTGCGCCACAATGGACTTAACACACTGAAATCCTTTTGAGCCCTCTTCTACCAGTGCTTCAAACATATTCTAAAGCAATTGAATGACATTAGTACAGTACTGAACATTCTTTATTCAGTCCCGCACAATTCTTCCAAGAATCCTTTGTGGGACGATTAATAAAGCATTATATTGTCGTACTCGCAATATTGCATTAAAGAAAATCCAAATGTATGCTTGTCTTTGCCTATAATATAGGATCACATCTGGTAACCGTATCTCATTGAATGTAAACCTTTTGTCTGAAAGTAGTGTCATATTTTCATACATATAGGCCTATATAAAGTATGCTTTATTATTTTGCCGGTCCAAATTGATTTTTGTGCGGCATTGAGTGGACAGACTGATTTAATGGGGAGATGACAATTGTCGAGGTTGAATTCCAAATTTAGCTTCAAGAAATTCGGTTTAAAACAAAGGAAGTCACTTTTTTAACTTGATAATGAGGCTAATATATAATAATGATAGCTTATAATAGGCTACCAATTTTTCTTATTTTCGAAATGGCCTTATAAGACACCGCTTATGGGTAAATATCGGTTAAGTAGGATATGTGCTCAAATTGAAAAGAGCAGTCTGGGTTTTTTTGTTTTAGTATATTGGCAGCTTTTGAATTTTTTCGTAGGTCGAAAATTCTTTTTGCTAAAATTTATGAAACCCATACACAAGAATAGAGAGAAACGTGTACAGAATTTCGTTTTGCTTTTTGGTGTCGGAAAATTACTGTTCGGATTTAAGCAAAATAATGTCTAACAGTGGAGAAATATACTACATATATCTCCAAAGTATTCGAAAGATTTCATCTAAAATATATCGAGTCTTTATGATGTCCAAAACTAGTTTAAGCTGCTTACTTATTTAATTAGTACAATACATTCTTAATTAACCCTTTCAAAACTTTTACAAGATAAAAAAAAAACCTTTTAAAACTAACTTAGTTTGATCAAGGATCCACAGTAGTCTTGATCCCCATCCTATGGTTAACTTTATTTCAATTTTTCCCTAATTTGAAATTATTTACTACAATATGCTGTATGGTTAGCAGTGAAACTGGCGCGGATATTTTATATGATAAATGTGTTTTAAATGTTGTTTATTTTATAGTTCTACATAATATACTAATAGAATGCGACAATTTTCAACTGAATAGGATGCCATTCTTGAGCAGTACATAATTATCTCATACGAATTGTAAAACGAATTACTTTATCTTTCTAGCATAAACTTCCTGGTAGAGTTTCTTAAATTCACTCCCATGCACTATCCTTATAAGTTCAGAAGTTGTCAAATTCAGAAAATTGGTATTAAAACACATGTGTATTGTATTTTAAAGGTTTTGAACCAACATGAATTAAGCCAAACTTTCTGTCAAATGAAACAGATCATTGCATACATTCGTTCATCTTCCCATTTTATTCATATTTATTCTTTTAGAATTCTATCTATATATTTATCTATACTTATTATTTACTGTTTCTATTTAATGATGTATTTATATTTGATATGTAATCTTCATTTTGGAGGAATAAAAAAGAATAAATAATAAGTATAAATATAGGCCTATAGATGTCAATAGCATAGTAAAGAAATATTTTCAGATTTAAAGGTGTAATCCCTTTATAAAGTTTTCATTATCAAAAACGTCGTAAACTATACATGAAAATATATCTAGAGTTGGTATATACAATCTATATCTAGCCTATATATCTTCTCGATCAAACTAATTTGTTTTAAAAGGGTTAATTAAAAACGGAGAATACTTAATTGTTAATTAAGCAGTTTGACCTAGTGTTTGGTGTTTGGCTCGATATTATTTTTTGAAACCTTTAAAATACGGAGGAGCCAGTCGTATTGCTCTACAAAGCGTTTATTTAACGCAAATCCGCATAGTAGTTTTCTAACGGCTTTCAAAACAAATAACGAACTTGAAAACGTAGGCCTAATGTTTTTAAATATTTTTCGCGTTTGAAAATTAACGGCTGGATTCTTTTCGTTAAAACTTTCAGATACGTTAAGGGCATATTTGTCTAGATTTTGGCGTAGCCTATAGTTTTCACAAATTTGATCCAAAACAAATTTCGACCTACAAAAAAGCGGCAATGAAAATTTTACATAGGCCTGCAAACTGCCCCTTTAATTTATCTGAAAGTTTCACCTAAATTTGATGCTAGTCCTAATAACTTAAAAGGTTGGTTTTTAATATCACTATTAATTAGTTTTAGTTAAGAGTCATTAACAAAGATTTTAAACTGATTTGCGCCGATTGTTTAACACCGACTAATCTAATCCTCAAATTAGTTTTGGATCAGATATCACGTCACAAGGGTTGTCAGTGGTAACTTGACAACCACTATCAACAAACAAACAACACTATAAGTTATCGATTTCCTGTTAGGTCTCAGAACAACACAAGTCAAATTAAGTGGAGATAGACAGTTAAAGAAGGATATAGTCATTAAAAAGGTAAAAACAATGGCAGACACAGTACAGACTTCCGAATATGGAGCTGGTGGTGTACCCAAAGGAGCAAAAACACACGAATATTACAGAGTACAAGATATACCTGCCCGCTTTGATAATCCAGGTAGGCTTATTAAATCGTATTCATGTGTACTAGGTCGAGTACTGTATATAATATATTCACCTTGTTACAATGGTGGCGTTTAATAGATTACTAGTCCTGATATAGGCCTATCGGTGATCTGAGATTAATTCAGCACACTGTAATCTTTTCGTATGGGCCTACTTGTAATATATTAAGGGCTGTCTCATAATTTAAAACTTCACTGGGCATTGGTAGGTATTCAAAGCCGACCTAGGTTTGTTAAAACAAAAATGTAGCCTGTATTTAAGGATATAAATCATACCGGTATGTAAGATCTGCATTCCCTGATAGTAGGCCCAAGCATAAAACCTTGTCTCGATACATTATATATATTATGTTATCATCATTAAAGTAAATATGTCACTGATATCCATTAAGACATGCCATGATCAAATCAATAAGTTGTCAGTCCATGATTTCTTAATTTTGTATTCCAGATTGGTTCCAAGGTTATGGTGGAAAACAACAGCATCCCATGTACAGAACTACTTCCGCATCAGCCTATGGGTCCAGAGCACCATCAGTTCATACCTTACCAACAACTTTCCATGGAAAATCACAACAATTCTCAGAAAAATTAGGCAAATGTGGCATGTACAGAAATCATTCATTAAACACAGCTAAAGATCAAAGTCCTGTGTGAAACAGAAATTTTATGATGGGACTTTATAAAGACAATATATGGAACGATCGACAATGTTGCTGATAGAATCAGGAGTAGTCATTGGCAGGTTATATGTTAGCTGCTCATTGAGATTCAACATTCTAACTACAATTTATGTTTTATGTTAATAAGTGTATTTATATAAACTGTGATGTTTTAAAGTTAACTATACCGAATAAAGATATTCAATTATATGTATGTTCTGCTCTACAAACAATTTTTACACGGCATCTTTCTGTCACATCCAACAATTGAGACATTTAAAAAAAAAATTACATTGGGTAATATAAAGTCAAAACCCGTATTCGGGATACGATGCTACCATCTGCATGATTTTTTAAAATTAGGAGTTTTACAAAATTATATACTTAGGTCATTGCCCTTTTGCCCCTAATTATTGAAACGTGCTGCTTTACAGTTTCATAGCCTTTGAAAGTTATACATTCACATATAGGGATGTAGGATTTTGGACTTTCTAACCATTTTGAGATACCATGTTATAAGAAAGCCGTAAGTATAATATATTCAATCAAAAGATAAAGCTTGCGAAAATTTGAGAGCTTATTTTTTTATTTTTCATGAAATTGAGGCAAAATTTTCTGCAGTAGTGGATGTTAGATTGTGACCCACTTCATTTCCGTTGTATGTAGGTTTGAAGGTTCATGATAACATCTCGTTAAATTCTGAAAGGGCATCTTTGTATGTTTTACTGCCACTTTCCACAAAACCCCCACCAGACGCTCAATGGAAGGTTTGCGCCTGTTGCGCTTCCACAGAGATGCATTATTTATTTTTTTTCAACCCATTTTGTCAGTCTGTGGAGTCTGGCGCTGCCACTGGATCCCTTACAGACGAGAAGAATTTGTATTTTTTCTTTTAGAAAAGAGCAGTGCCTCAACTACCACAGGGACCTAACGGGTTCACTCCCATAAGGGGCCCCTCATCTAGTTGAACTACTCTGTAAAAGAGATGTAAACACGTTTTGACGCTTTGAGGCCTACTTGATGACGCGAAAATAAAATACAAAACAATTCCGCGTCTTCCTGCAATTTGTAAAAAAAAGTCAGACTTCATCTTAAACTAATTGGCTAATAACTTGAGATAGCTGTTCGGGAAAATGAACGACTTATAACTTATACATGTAATTTAGAATATCGTCATAGGCATAGATTAAAGAAAGTTAGATATTAATTATTTTTTGACAAACCCAATGTAGGCCTACGATCCTCTTACAATAAATGACCCCTGAAGGTGAAATTCATATCAAGACTAATGAAAATGAATAAATTTCTTTACACCATAAGCCTATCGCTTTGATAGAAATAAACCAATTTCATCTTTATGTTGGTAATTCATCTCTAGTACCTCGACAGTTCTCTGATAATTGCGCAGAACATCATATTGAAGAACATCATATTTCGCAGAGCAACAAATTGTCGTCTGCTTCAGTTTAAAATAGTTTGAAGCAGAGTTACCGTTAATTGGTCAATTGCCAGGTGTCGCTCTTTACAGGTAAACAAAATACCTGAACGATAATCATAACGGTAAATATCTAAGGACGCTAAAATAAATAATCGTAAGTTTTTTTTTATTTTGTAAATATTAAATGATCATATCTATGTCTTTTTCTTATTGCGTTTAAAATTTGCAGATTTCAGACTCTCTCCATGGCTTTATCGGTTCTTTCTCATTTTGCGTATGAAAAATTGATGTTGTACATATGCCAAGTGAAGAAACTGAATGGGTTTATACACGTTCTGATCACGATAAGAAAATGGCGTTAATAACGGTAATTTATTTTACAAGATCAATGTTGGTTCTTTTAAGACCAAATTGATAGATGACAGCTACCAACTTAACTGGACTGCATATTACTGACAAGGGGTAGGCCTATAACCAGGAACAAAATTGCAGTGACATACTGGCAGTGATTTGCATCTGTCTTTGAAATTTGTGATTGGTCCGTATGAATTGCATTCTTTGGAAATAACTTTCTTGTTTTTATTGTCATTTTTTAGTGTCCCTTAAATACTCTTGTTTTGTATTTAGTCTACAACATCTAATTGTTAAGAATGTTGGACTATAAGAGTTACAAAAATGTCTCACAAAATCAGGTAAGGCTTTTTAATATTCTCAAATAAATGAGATTTCTTACCTAGGATACAAGTTGGAGAGTAAGCCCTTTTTCAAAATCAGTTGTCCTGGTGAATATTTCATCTGTGTCGGCAATCGGCAACATCAGATGAGCTCTTCATTACAAGTCCTGCGAGGTTGTTGTGTGATTCAGAGCTTAAAATATCCATCTGAAGATAAAATTCTAACATTTGGGATTTGTCAAATTTTACAGACAAAATCAGATATTATTGATCCTATCACTGTAACATTTTACAGACATTAGATTTGGTTATCAGTGATACCTGATGATTGTTCTGACAATTTTATTGGAACAAAAATAAATTGAGAAGGAGTGATTTTATATTACTATGGTATTTAATAAAATTACTTTCAATACTAAAATTTCTTGTCTAAATCTAGATTTTCTGATAATAAAACTTGAAATTTTCTGCTGTCATTAGTGGTTCAAGACAGAAAAAATGCAATTAGGAATTGTAAGAAATATCACATTTCATCATCTGCATCTCAGTCTACATGTTTTAACTTTAATGTTTCTTATTAATCTAATTCAGAAATGGTAAAACTTCACAAGTGTTAGAAGTTGAGAATAAGAAATTGGAAAATGATGTTGAAGAGTTAAAGAATGCTTTAGACTTACATCATAATCTAAATTCAGCTCAGAACAATACTGTACATGGTCTTATAAGGTATGTAGATCTTACCTAAGAATCAAGCAGGTTTATGAGCTTTTGACAGATTGTAATTTCATGTTAGCTGATTGTTGATGAAAATTCCTATATGTAGACTTAATTTTGACCATTCAGTTAATGACAATAATTAAGATGTCCCTGAAATCAAAATCTACAGAGATCTCACATGTTACAAAACTAGTGTTTATTTCACTCTTAAATGGATAGGCACATGAAACTAACATTAATTTAGAATCAAGACGTAATGTGGAAGAATGATTTTTTAAATTTGGTGAATTTGTCTGTCAAGACATGGTATCAATGTTAACAGAATTTTGATGATTTTGATCATTTCAGAGGTGAAATAGGTGAGTCTAGATGGCGGTACGGTGGAAAGGGTAAATTAAAGTCTTTTAAGTCTGCTACAGACTTACATGATCCAAGAGGTACATCACCAGAAAGATCCTCATCCAAAATGAGTAGACCACCATCAGCAAGTTCCAAAACTGCAAACAAAACTATAGAGCACTTGGAAAAACTCAAGAGTGAAATTGATCAGCAACGTGCTCTTCTGGAAGAAAAGTATCACTTGAGTGAAAGAATTCAAAAAGACATACGCATCAATAGAAATCTACGCTCAAAAGAATCAGCTTCAAATAAACCTCATCATACAAAAAATGTGCATGACTCTAAAACAATCAATGATTTGAAAACTAAGACTGGGGAAAATCTGAATGATTCTTTGTTTGATACGGAATATCTAGAAATCCATGATAAGAAAGATAAGGTCTTGGAAAAAATCAGTGCTAAAGTAATTCATCGCAATACGAAAGTGACTGTTAATGGGGCTCGAACAAAGTCTCCACCAAAGAAACCAGAAATTGGCTTTGGATCACGAATTGAGAAAAAGCCTGAAAAGCCAAAGCTAATCAAAAAATCTAAAATTAGAACTTTTCGAAGAGCAGAACCTGCTACAGTGATTAATGACATTGAGAAAGATGACGAGAGCACTGTAAATCCTGAAAATGGTGTCCAATCAGTGGAGCAAATACAGACAAAAGATATCATAGAGACTCAAAAATATTTAAGTGAACCTCAAGAGGAAGTTCTTGGATTATCTCAAACTCTGTCCAAAATTAAAGCAAATCATGAAAGAGAGGAAGAAAATCGTAAGTTTCTAGCAGAAGAAAAAATTTTTGAAGGAAGTCATCAAAATATCATAGATGAAAACAAGTTGACTGAAATTTTGAAAACTGATAATTTAAACCTCAATTTGGACTTCACACGGAATTCTGATGAATTCCAAAACAGTGACAGGAAATCAAAATTTAGTGTTGAAAATCAAAATCTTGATCAAAACATACTTGAGCAGAAGTCTAATTTGCTATCTGACAATATGCAGGACATATCTACAAGTGATTATAGTTCTGATGTAGAACTATTTCCTGACAATTCTACAAAAAGTGCTTTATTTTCCCAGAAACATGAGGAATCAGAAGCAACCACGTCAGTACCCAAACCAATAAAAAGTGTTCAAGAAAGTGTGCAAATATCAAATGAATTTGAAAAGGAATTGGAGAAGCCATTGCTAGATAATACTAATAGAATAGTGAAAGCTGACAAATTTGTAAAAACTTGGCTAAGAAAAATAGGAATTGAGGAAGTTCAAAAAACTGCCGTAATATTTGCCAAACATAATATTGGAATGGCAGTAATGAAATTTGTCACTGAAGAGCAAGTTTGTGAAATGGGATTTTCTAACTTAGCAACCATGAACAAAATTCTTGAGGGCATTCATGCACTTAAATTATCATCATCTTCATCATCATCATCATCAAAAACAATAGTTCAACCACCTAGTCAAGATGTAGCACCAAAAACTGAATCAGAGGAACATACTGGTAGCCATAATGTTCCACCAAACTTAGAGAAAAGACTGTCTCGTAGAGAAAGGAATAAAAAGCCAGTAGAAATTAGTTCAGCAGAAAAGCCAAAACAGGTTTCTTTACGCACAAGATCCACATCCACAGGAAGGCAGATAGTAGAAGGCTCTGACAATAAACAGATTTTCACCAGACCAAGAAGTAGCAGTCGATCCAGAGAAATTGCGAGACGCAAAGCTGAAGCAGGTAAGTCTGGTACAATTAAATGATCATAAGCATACAAACCATGAAAGACTAATGTCCTTATGGCTATTCTCTGCGTTATCTGATTCCTACAGAACTGGAAAGGGAGAAAGGGCTGGGTGATATTGGTTCAAGTGGATATCAGGATATCAAGCATTAATATCGTGCTATGGGTATATATCACAATATTTATTAAGTATGGTTTTTACTGGTTTTTGATACAAAATGGTGTTTTTATTATCTAAAAATTTTGAATGTCACAAAAAAAAAATATATATCTCTAAATACAACTCCGTCTTCAATATCATAAAAAAACATCTGTTTCAAATATCAAGTTACTAGTTAAAATTGTGCAGATGACAAAAATTTGAAGATATATCACGAAATGGAGATATTTTCAGTATTCAGGTGATATTACTAATGATATAAATTCTTTTACCAGTATTTATCGTGATACAGGTATAAAATGTGTAGAGAAAGACATAAATAAAAACAGAAAGTGAAATTTCTAGTTAAATGTATTTTTGATGGAATCATCTGATTTTTGTACATTTCTAGTACTTCTAAAGACTATTTACATATATTCAAGAACCCCTGAAATTGGCCGAACTATCCTTTTAAATCAATTATACCTCAGCTTGTCCTGTAGTTTTATCTCATCTTGTATCAGTGATGTAGCTTCACCAACTTTTCATTTTTTTTCTTCTAAAGCTGTAGCTGCAGCTGCTCAGAAGAAAATTGAAAGAGAAAGAGAGATGAGAAGGAAACAGAAAGAAAGAGAGAGGAAATTAAATAAACAGAAAGAACACAGGGACTTACTGGCAGCTAAACATTTAGAGAGAGAAAATCATAAAACTACAACTGAATCACAGGAGCCCGATATATTTCAGGTAATTATAAAACTTTATTAAAAATGTCTTACCAATAATTCTAAAAATACTGTCAGTCAAATAAAACCTGTAATTGATTGCTTTAAAGATCTAGATATTTTACTGTAGACGTCAAGGAGCTCCCCAATTTCAAGATAAAGAAGTTTTGACATCAGTAACCAAAATAACTAAGATATCTTGATGCAGAGGGTTAAGAATTAAACTGCCCTTACACCTAAAAATATTTGTATTTTGACATTAAAAGCCAAGAAAAATTTTTTTATCAGTAACATATAGGTGGATAATCATTATGATTTTAGGCTGACTATGATGATCTTGGATCAGAAACAACTGGAAGATCAACTGCTCTAGAGAATTATTTAATATCCTCTAGATTACTGACACCAGAATCTAGTCAAAGATCTAAACCTGCCACATCAAGTAACAGAAGTACCTCTAACAGAGAAGAGTCTGATATTAGTCCAGAAAGAGTTAAATCTATGGTAAGCCCCTGTTTGTTTTATATATTCTGTTTGGTACAGATTGTAGACTGATGCTTATAATTTGCTTAGAATATTACTTAAAATCAGAAAAGGTTGTGAGTTTGTGCTATAAAAAACACAAGAAAATATCTTATCAGAAAATACATTAGTGACAACAAATGTTAGATCCAAATTCAGGGCACAAATGACAATGTCATGTTTACTCTTTCATTTTCATGATTTTCATTGGAATCATTTGAACTGTATAGCTTCATTTGTTTGATGAAGTTTCTTAATTCAGTGTAGAAAGTCAATGTAGCTGTTCATGTCAGTGGTACAAATGTCCCATATAAAATACTCTCTTCGAATTGTTTCCAACAGATAAAGACTCTTCTTTCATCTGACCACCTTCAAGATCACATGACACTTAATCTTGTGAAAAATCTTCAGAAGCAATTAGAGGATGTTGAAAATAGAATCAAAGATAAACAAGACGATTTGAATTCTTCAAATTCAAGGATTTCTGATTTGGTTGTTGCTGGTGAAAACATTGGTCCATCCCAATTATCATCAGCTAAGACTCCTGTAGCAGAAGAACTGGCTGCAAGTCCTCAACATGAAACTCCAGTTAATGATACATTTCGTTGTGATTCGGATATTGGAATATGGGATCCAAGCAAAGCTCCTAATTTGTTATCTGAAATACTCCCACCAGATATTGTCTTAAAAGTTACATCTCCACCAGAAACAGGAACATCTATTACTAATTCTGTAGCAAGTAGACCCAAATCTAACACCAAAAGTACTGTTGGTAGTGTGGCATCAATGTCCATGAGTAAGAGAGCCCTTCTGGATGAGATAAGGAAAGAAAAGGATGAACATCGGAAGCAAATCAAGTGAGTGCTTTGTTAGCCTCCATTTCCAAACTTAACCATCCTGATTTATATTTGTCAGCTGCATGAGATTAACTTGTGATAATTATTCAAAGTTTTCAATTCCAAGTTTTGGAGACCAAGTCACATCTTTTTAGTCAAGTCATTAAAAGTGATAAGAATGGCATCAAAAATTTCTTTTTAAATGGAAGGGTTATTTCAAATTTTGTAGTATAACCAGAATTAATATTTAAATAATGCAAGTGTCTCATATGAAGATTTATTTTCTATTTCTAGACATCTTCAATCTGAACTGAGTCGACTACAACATAAAGATCCTGTTAAACAGTCAGAAATACCACTTGAAGATATTGTGTTTGATGAGAAAGGTATAATTGTTCAAAATAATATAAAATCATTTATTTTCATTACTGCCAGATTTTGTGTTCAAGATTTTCGTGGGAATTAAAATTCATGAATTTGTTGTCACAAAGAATGTACAAAATATAAGATTACGCAGAAAGCAATTTCAATTTTTTGCTGTTAAACCAAATGCAAGTATTAGGATGTCCACACCTGTATGAAATTTTTTTTTCTAGATTTGTTAGGGGAGGGAGCATTTTCTAAAGTGTACAGAGGGTACTACCAGGCTGCAGAGGTAGCAGTTAAAATGTTAAAAGTTCCACTTAATGCTCAAGATAAAAATTATTTTGCAGCAGAGGTAGGTTGTATGTTTATTTGATGCTGTTTGATGTCTACTTCAGTTGAAAGTTACAAAGTACATCAATCTTTTCAATTGGGCACTGTCTGTTGTTGATCCGTATGTATCAATTTATATTTAGGAAAATATTTTTCACTGAATTTTTGAATTATTGTCATTATATTATTTGAAATATCTTGAGTTCTATTTGCACAAGATTACTTATGAAAAAAACTGAAGAGCTTTGTTAAATTCAACATTTTTCAGCAATACCTGTATTTCAGGTCAGCTTGCTGCGTGATTTACGCCATCCAAGAGTAGTGCTATTATTGGGTGTATGTACTGATACTAAATTACCATTAATGGTATTAGAATATATGAGTAGCGGTAACCTCTTCAACATATTACATGATACTAGAAGGTAAGATAATAAAAGATTCTTATGAATGATCTCTTTGTAATGGTAACAACATCACCTTTTATGTGTATCATCACAGTATTGATTTACATCATTCCAATTTTCAGTCAATCATCTGTAATTTTTACAAATACATTTAAACACAGCGTTTTAGTATAAACTGTTGATGATAGCACCTGTGTGATAGTGAATTTATAATTTGCTTAGTGTAATTGCATGAACCACAGATGTCTGACTTAAAATTGGAATGGTGCAAAGTGATGCTACCCGTGTCCTCGCTACAAATATAAAGTTAAGAAAACCATTTTTAAGACCCTTTAAGGAAATTTATATTCCTGATCATTTCAGATCACCATTAGATCATGTAGAGTTCTATCAGATATCTAGTGATATAGCAGCAGGAATGGTTTATCTCCATAACAACAGACCACCAGTACTTCATTTAGATCTGAAATCAATGAATGTTTTAATTGGAGCTGGAAATAGAGCCAAAATTGCTGATTTTGGGTTCTCAAAGTTAAAGTAAGTTTAGATTAGATATTCCCTCAATTCCATGCTATAATACTTGAAGCATATCATGTTGATGTTTTTTTAAAATAAAAAATTGGATATTTCAGAGGTGTGTGATTTTTACCAATTTAAAGAATTTCAGACATATTTTCAACTAAATTTAAATTTCAGACATGAAGCTGACTTAAAGGCAGCTAAAAATAAACAGATACAAGGATCACCAGGTTGGATGGCACCTGAACTGTTATTAAATGGTGAAGTCACAGTGAAGGCTGATGTCTATAGTTTTGGTATTATATTATGGGAAATGGTAACCAGAAAACATCCATATGAAGGCTGCAGTATGTTTCAGGTTTGTGCCCAAGGTTTCTTTTGAAGAATAAACTTGTTGTTGTGTCAAGGGCATTGGTGCAACTTCACAGAATATATATGAAAATTTAAGAATGTAGGCCTAACCATGCTATCAAATTGCAGAAAATGTTGGAAATCTTCTTATGTTTACCTTCCCTTCCTTTTGTTCCAGATTTTGGAAAGAGTGAGGTTGAATCAAAGACCAGAATTTCCTGATCATTGTCCATCAGAACTGAGGAAACTTATTCAGAAATGTTGGCACCATAACCCGGCTAAAAGATTGATCTTTAAGGTGAGTTCAATCTTTGTATCAAATAAAGTAACTTATTTGTTTGGTAATGCAAATGGGCATCAAGTCTAGAATTATTATTTTGCTTATTATGAGCTAGCTCAGTCTCAGCAGTCCTTCATCAGCTCAACTATATTTAAGTTGCTGCCAACTTATCCACAAATAAATCTATTGTAGTCTATTGTATCTAGAAACAGACATATTTGACAAATTTCAGTCAGACCAAGTGTATTTACTACACCTGAGACCTGATACTTCTCTTTCATCAATTAAGTGTAAAATATTCTCCTCCAGGAAATCTTGAACATAATAGAAAATCTTACATTCCCAAAAGAATGGAGAGATCTATTTGCTGAAGCAGGAATACCAAAGCTAGCCTTGAATGACATTCAATCAACCAGAAACATCATCTCTTTGGTAAATTCTACACTTGAATCGGCTAATCTACAGAAGATAGTTCAGGATTACCAGTTGTTCCTTAAAGAAGATAATGCTGTATCAAGTCAATCCAGTGAGGATCTAAGTATTGATTCACTTGAGGATGAATTAGAAGTGGTAACATCGGAGGATTCATTTGAAAAGATTATTGTTGACACTGGTGATGCATTTATGGGTTCATGTAATAACAGCAGTCCAACTGAAGTATCTTCTGTAAAACAATCTCTAGGTAATCTTAAAAACGACATTCCAAAAAAGGTAGCTATAAAAGTAGAGATCCCAAAACCTTCCCCAAGGAAGTCTATGGTATCCCAAAAATCTACACACAGTCAATCTGGAAGAAAGAGCAAAGAAGCCTGGAGCCTTTCAGAGGAACTTAAACTTGATCTACCTCTGTCCCCTGATATACCATCAGTACCCAAACAACTCCTGAAAAAACCGATAGCACCACCTCCTCCACCTATTCAAAAAGCACCTGCACAATCTAAAACTGTGTATTCATCAAAAAAGAAGAGTCAACAAAAACAAGCATCAGTGGTTAATGATTTGAAGACAGAATTTACCAAACGCAAAGAAAGGAAAGCTAAGTCTCCAGCTACATCAAAAGCAACCAGTCAAACTAGATTTGAAGTGAACGTATCTGCCTTACAAGAACAACGAAAAACTTTACGACCTACCAATCAGCCACACTCTAGTCAGTTAGGAGATCTTAATGGCATGCCCAGAGAAGCCATATCTTCAATAGCCGAAATTCTGAAGAAGGTAAGTCTGAATTATCTTATTTTGGAACGTGAATACCAAATAATCAATGTAACAGGCCCAAGAGGCAGAGAAGTTTTTCTAAGTACCAGTAGTAATGTAAGTACAAAATCTTGCTGTGTGAAGACATGGTGCTGGATGGTGTACTGCTTCTACATCTAACCCATAAGATTCTGTACAATATTTGAAGCAGTGAATCTTATCCTTCAAGAACTTTACAATGACTGCTTTCTGAATTGATATACAATACAAACTAATTTTTGGCTATTTTAGGCAATGAGTGAAAGAAGGTTTGCCATTGGTGAAGTTGATAACAGTAATGATGTTGCTGATTGGTCATATCAAAGTGAAATATCTCAGTAATGTCATCTGTTACCTCCCTGCCATATTTGCAACAATCTAATGTCTCAGTAATGTCATTGATATTGGCATGAGTTATGTCCTTCATGATGCTTAATCAATATGCAAGTCAAATCTTAGTATTGCTATTCACTTTTATAAGCCCACATCTCTCTACGTCGGCACCCCTGTCGGTCAACATTTGCTTGTAAACGCTCTAAAAACTTTTTGATGGAATCAAATGAAATTCGGTATGAGTATACATATTCATAAAACGAAGATCAAGTTCAATTTTGAGCTATTTTCGACAGTTAGAAGCAGAGTTATTGCCCTTGCCTCAAAATCTTGATGAAACTTAAAATGGATGATGACCTAAATCGAAAGGTTTAAGAAAGTTTAGTTTACTTCTGAATAAATTCAAGGCTTTTTCAAGATTTAGGGCTCTTACGTCAGTTTTGAGGAGTTATCGCTATTTACCTCTATACAGTAAGTTAACATCAATTGCTCGTAAACACTCTAAAAACTAGAGTGCTTGAAGGAATCAAATGAAATTCTGTGTGCATACATATTCATGAAATGAAGGTCCATCAACTTTTGCTTGTAAACGCTCTAAATACTAGATTTTTTGATGGAATCAAATTAAATTCGGTATGTGTATACATATTCATAAAACGAAGATCAAGTTCGAATTTGAGCTATTTTCAACCGTTAGAAGCAGAGTTATTGCCCTTGCCCCAAAATCTTGAATATTTACCATCCGCATGCCGTGGTGGGCGTATATGGCTGTGGTCCACTATATTTAATCAAAAGTCTGTCATGTCATTATTTATAGTAAACATATCATGTATTTAATGAATGGATAAATTGGTTATTAACATATAGTAATTGATATGGTTATTTTTATCATATACAAATATGTCACTAGTATGGTAATTGATGAATAATAAGATATACATGTATAAAAAATGGTTCCCATCTTGTGTCTCTGTTATCAAATGGCTGTAAGAAAAATCCAAAGATGAAATCCAATGTTTTAATTATGTAATTTATCCACAGTTTATTCCATATATTTATTGTTATTTATGTTATGTTTACTACAACCTTTTAACTGAATTCTTGTCAACATAACCAAAACTAAAATAATTCAAAAATCCAAAAGAACTGATCTCAAATATAGTAAATTAAGTAACAAATACTGAAAATTTGTAATGTTTTATTTTGTGTACAAAAAGGTAATTATTTAAATAATATACATTTATGTAACAGTACATAATATTAAGCACAATATGAAGTTTCTCAAATTTTTTATATCGGTTTGCATGCCTTTATTCAAATCATAAGAAATTGATCATGAGAAATTTTGGTCTTGTGTCAAACATCTAGAAATGTGGTGCATTTTGTCTATCAGCAATTTTAAAATACTTCTATTTTCTTGAATGTTTTTTATTTTTAAGTTAAACCAAAACCGTTAATTTTACAGGTCATACATGGTTGGAACATAACAATTTTAGGGTAATAGAACATCAAGAAATTCTCTATATCATAATTTATTATTGTTAGCTATACCGGTAAATAAACTGAAAAATACCTATCCACACAATCAGTCTTTTCATTTATCTTCAATTATCAAGACAGAGAAAAATACACTATGATCATACATACAAAAATTAAAACCACAGGACCATTCTTGATAGCACCAAGTCAAGCTATAATAGTACTGATAGCCCATTCATACCAGAAAATTTCTCCAGAGACCTATGAGCAATCACAAACAATGGAAAGCAGACTGGTCTGAATTGGTCCCAAGTTACCTTTAGATCTATAGCTACAAAGAATGTTTGCAATAAAAGAACTAACTTCTAGACTCAGGCAAAGACAGTCAATAAAGAATTTTATGCCCTACAGAGTGGAACAGTTGATATAAGATATTATTCCAATTTTTGGTGGATTCATTACATAAGTATGGACAGTCCACAATTTTAGGTACATAACCACAACAGGCCTTTAAACAAATATATCCACACATTTTACACCAGAAAAAACAATTATTATTGTGAGAACTATTTCTGAAAATAATTCAGTGGCAAACTAACAAAGTGCCCAATTGCATTGGACAATGTCATCAACATTTAGTTCATATCCAAATTTGGTAATATATCTTTAATCGTCTTGGGGAAAGTTGGAAAGAGTAGGCTTGTGATGCAACTCTGACAATTTGTCCATATTTTACACTGGATAGACAGGATGTAAAATTCCATTTCATGTAGGATTTATCTGCAGGGTAACAGTGGTGTAAGCTATAAATGATTGTAGTAGAGGAATGCCTTGTTTACTAACAGAGCTGGAACAGAAACATACATATAATTATAATCCATACTCTACTCTAACTAGATACACCATAAGTCAGACATTTGGGTCCTTGGGCATAAAAGTGATCAGTGATTTTACAGTTACAAGGGAGTCTGAAGTAAAGAGAACTCAGAGGGAATTGTTTCTATGGATAACAAATATAGAGCATGTGGATTCCAAAATCTGGAGAGTTTAAAGATGGCTACTGGCCACCAAGAATAAGTTCACCCACCTGACTAAGAAAGGTTGTTTGAAGCAAGCTGTATTATTAAAACCATTATTGATTTCATTAACGACAGACATCACATTTTTAATTATCTGAGAATATCCAACTTTATCAATCTTTGTTAAAACAATCTGCAAATAGATAAAATCAAAATACATCAATTTTAAAGTGATATAGAAATATTAAAACAGAACTTGTTGTTACTCAACATAATTCAAGTGCTGTTTTAATATTTCTATATTGCTCTACAATTGTTGTATTGAGCACTATCTTGAAAATATTATATTTTTGTAAAATAAGAATTCTGTCAACTCTCTGAAACTTCATTCTGTGAAGTCATACAGTGCAATTAAATATATTTGAAAACACCCAGTATTTCAAAACTCCTTTCTTTTATTCTGAATTTGCTCCACTCTCAGTAATGTTGAACAGCTTAGCTGTATCGATTGCATTTCAGTAGACAGACTTCATAATATAGAATATTCTCAAAGAATAGACAAAGAACCATATCTATAACACTATATAGGCATTATTGAAAAGGTATAGGGAAACTAAACTCTAGGTATACCGTACTTACTGTAAAAGGTTTTGGGTATTCTCCTAACATATCCAAGCCTATTTCATCTGTTTTAGTAATACCAGTAGAAGCATCAATCAATAAAAATAATCTTAATAATCTAAAACAATAAATTACAGTTTGTTGAATTTGAAACACTGGATTTCCAAATTGGCAGCCTTTGGGATAGTCTTCAAAGATATTATTAATTATTACACACAAATAGTCTGATGATGGACAAAATTGTTCTCAAGGTAAATTTTCAACTCATTATTAGGCTTAAACCTTAGTTCAAGTTGACAAACAAGTCGACAACCTTTGCTGAAATTGAGCTACACTATAGCCAGTACTGAAAGTCAGTATCACTAGCAAACCAGGGCATGCTCACTCTTCCAGAAGACCTGATGCCATCTTAAGACTGCAATTGTTATCTTGAAATCTCTTTTTTTTTAAAGTAAGGGAGCTGTCATATGTAAGTTACTATTTGGGAAAAGTCCATTCAATGCAAAGAGCAAAAACTGATAGTGATCATCATGTATAGGCAGCAATTTCTATTCCCTTCTTGAATATTTTGTTGATTGATAAATCTGTGTCCTAAGGGAGATCTGATCCTTTTTACAATTCTCGTTATTGCACAGAAAGTTAAACTTACTGTCTTCTATTTTGGATATAACTTTCAACACATTCTTCATAATGTTCTGGCATATTATAACCATATCCTGGCATATCTACTAAATTTAAATATTTTCCTACTTGAAAGAACTGTAATACCCTGGTATGACCCTGAAATTTGAAATGTAATCATGTCAGTAGATATAGATTATTAAATTAGCATATATTTAAGCTCAAAATTTTCTGCACTTAAATTACAGATGTGTATAAAATGGTCAGAATAGCGCCTTAATTTTGAGTTTGTTATCATATTTGTAGTGCTGGATTGATAAATCGGATTAGCGATTCATTGCGATACGACATTCGATGATACATGTATTGTATAGCTTTGTCATGTACATGTATCAATACCTGATAATAAAAGGTATATTAGAAAAACATGGAATCACATAAAATAACTAAAAGTCATCCAAATGCATGATATGATCAATTTGTAAAGTAAATGTGGTAACAGTAAGCTATAAATAAATTACTACTAATATTATTATGCTGTTATTAAGCAGTGAAAAAAAACATTGAAAGTTTGAAGATAAAGTACCAATACTACATTTTATCTATTTGACTAATTAGCAATACATATCATTTCATAGTCCCTTAAATCATGATCACATAACTTAATGGCCTCCAAGTCAAAATGGCCCGAAAAACCATAGTCAAAATGGACACTGTTTTTGTCAAAATGTTTATAATCCATTGACAATACCCAGCAATACATATTTGTCTCAGTATTCACTTCAGAGGTTGTCATATGTATTTCAGTACCGTACATGAAAGGTTTGTCTCAGAGTATATGTCACTTATTTGTCTTTGTATCTAATATGTAAAAACTGAAGTTACAATTAACTGATGTAAATTTTTCAAAATTCCATTTGAGATAACAAATTCTTATTTCCTATTTAAAATTATATATTTGTCATTAATGCACTTGACTCTAGAGAGATATAACTTACAGGTTTTTTAGAAACTTTAACAGCAATATCTGGTACTTTCCTAAATAATGCTTTAATAAGTGATGATTTACCAACATTACTTCGACCAATAAATGCAACCTGGAAATCAGGAAAACTTGTTTTATTGAAAAATATAAAATATCAGCTGAATGATCTGCTGGCAATTATTGGCATAACAGCCTGTTGCAGAATTTTATATAATACAATGGCCACAAAATGTAATCATACAAAAAATTATATCCGCTTCATTAAAGATAACTATCGTGTGTAATACAGAGATGTCCTTCAAGACCCATTGATTTGTTTTGGCCAATTAAAGGCAAAATCTAAGGAAAATGGTTCTAGACCCATTCCTCGTTATTAAATATTGAGGACTGATCTGTTTGAGCATACATGTTATAAAATATACATAATGGCTGCAATTATAGTCATTGACAAGACTTTTAATGTGTTGGTGTAATTGTTCTTTTTTGAATATTCTTTCAGTAAGGTATTAAACATGAAAAGATAAACAATATACCCTACCTCTGGCAGGTTAATATCAGGCAGGCTGTCAAGGTTATGAGAACCTGTTATATATCGAATACGGTTATCATGATTTGGAGTGAAAATCAATTCTGATTTTTTCATGTCATCACAGGTGGGTTGAAATAACAGATTATTTGCAGGTAATATTGGTACTTCCACATATTCTTGTAAATCATTGACTGGATTAACATAAATATTGTCTGACTTGATTCTTACATGACTGGTCTGATGAAATTGTCTTTGAGAATGGCAAGTAAACAAGGTGAAGAACCTAAAGTGCCCCACAAATTTTAAAAACTGAGAAAGTTCTTGTGATATCATAACTGTAGTTAACAATAAATATCCTTATTTAAAAGAAAGAATATCTTATTTAGATCTATTCTCCTAACATAGGCTACTTGAAAACAGTCATATATATTCTGAGTCACTCAGACTACACTCACAAGACTAAACTTCCGCTTGTTATTGGAGTGTCACGCCTTATAATTTACAGTTACACAACAAACACACAATCAGTCTTCAAAAAATAAGGAAACAAAGTGCGCACTAAAGATAAAACAAAATGTCAATAATTCACCAAACTACCAAATTGTCAAGTCGAAGAAATAGCCCCAAATTTTACGATAAGGTCTCTCCTTTCGTTATTCTGGCTTCGATGTATTCCACCCTACGCTCCAACTCTGTCAATTTTTCATTCAACGTGGCTAATCGCGAGCGACACGACATGTCAAAAGAATTTAAAAAGTCTGATATTTTCTTAATACTGCAAGTTATCACTTCAACATATTCTCTGTTAGCCCAGTCTTGTTGAATAGGTCGCTGAGCGGCATGTTGTGGTTGATGTTGAGCCGCCATCTTTACTTCCTTTATTATACATTTAGTCTCACTAACACATCTGTATTTGACATAATGTCCATTTAAGACCACAATTAAAATGTGCCTTATAAAGACTTGATAATTTAGTTGAAACTTTTGATCCATGGCAATTGTTCACCTATATATGGGTTGATTTGGGTCCTGAATATATTGTGTAAACTACTAGAACTGCATAAAATAACATAATCTCTTCAAATATACTTCAAACTTGATTTCTTGAAATCTTGAAATTAATCCCCTCTCTCTAAAGATTTACAGAGTAAACCTTGCCACAACTTTCCATTAATTATAGCACAATTAAGCACTGCCCACTGTGGGCTTATTCTATCCATCTGCTAGATTAGAGGAGCTCATAACTGAGACATTTTCCTTAAACTAAAACTGATTGCCAAGGGGTCCATCATCCAGGATAGAAATCAATATATCAAAATGTACCTTGATGTAATAAAAAAAACCATCATTTCAATACACTGTTTACACCCAGGATATAAAACAATAATTCAATGCTTTAGATTGACTCAATACTGAAGACATTATAGCCATTGGCTAAGGCTGTATTTTCATTAAATCTGAGAAAGCAACTTCGTTTAGATCAATTTATGTCTTACAGTCCTTTTTATACGCCCAGACGTAAGATGGGCGTATATTGTAATCACCCCGTCGGTCCGTCGGTTCACATTTGGCTAGTGCTCACTCTACAGGCTACAGTTCTTTATGGATTCTTTTGATTTTTATTTTGTGTGTCAATGTCATTATGAAGATGATCCCTATTGATTTTCGTGATGATCGGATAATTTTTCACCGAAATATCGTGTCTGACTTGACATTTTACTCTATTAGCTATATTGTGCAATTCTTGCTCACTCTACAGGCTACAATTTTTTACAGATTCTTTTGATTTTTATTTTGTGTGTCAATGTCATTATGAAGATGATCCCTATTGATTTTCGTGATGATCGGATAATTTTTCACCAAAATATCGTGTCTGACTTGACGTTTTTCTCTATTAGCTATATTGTGCAACTCGTTCTCACTCTACAGGCTACAATTTTTTACAGATTCTTTTGATTTTTATTTTGTGTGTCAATGTCATTATGAAGATGATCCCTATTGATTTTCGTGATGATCGGATAATTTTTCACCGAAATATCGTGTCTGACCTGACGTTTTACTCTATTAGCTATATTGTGCAACTCGTGCTCACTCTACAATTCTTTACAGATTCTTTTGATTTTTATTTTGTATGTCAATGTCATTATGAAGATGATCCCTATCGATTTTCGCGATGATCGGATAATATTTCACCGAAATATCGTGTCTGACCTGACGTTTTACTCTATTAGCTATATTGTGCAACCCTGTAGTCACTAAAGACTGTTTAATCATTTCTGTCAGCTGCCAGTGGGCGTATGTTACCTTGCCTGGCAAGCTATCGTTTCTATATGGTAAAATGCTATAGCAGCTATTTGCTTTTATCTAATGGGAGAAATCGACCATGATGTCATAGAAGTGGTTTGCTTATCACATGAGTGTTTTGTCCTACTCATGTCAGACTTGTTTTCTATTTTTAGAATATCACAGCTCAGCTGATTTCTGAGTTAGTTCATAGGGCACCATGATATCCATTAAAAATAACAAATTTTATAATCAAATATTTATTACGTCATCCTTCTTTTCTTTTTGAAAAAATTGGAACATATTTATAGATTCTAGAATTTTTTATGCAATTTGGAATCCATGGTAATTCATAAACTTCAAAACCTTCTTCAAAAATAGTTGCATCTAATTCATGTTCTTTTGCTACCAGTAAACCTCTTTCTTTTAATGTACCTGAAACATATTAATGATATAATATAAATTTATCTTAAAGAGATTGTAAAGAGGTTTTTTAATCTTTTTATGTGTATCGGCGACACTGGTAGCATCAGTTTGCACCATTCCAACTTTCATTCTGACATCTATGGTTCTTGCAATTCCACTAAAACTAAAGAATTATACAACGTTACTAGAGGGGAGATACCGGAAGCTACCATTTAATATATATGAAGTTCCCCCCTAGTGACATCATAAAACGCGTTAGTTTTAGTGGAATTGAAAGAACCACAGACGTCGGAATGAAAATTGGAATGATGCTATCAATGTCCCAAATACACATAAAAGTTAAGAAAACCTCTTTACAATTCCTTTTAAGTGTAGGTATAGCTAATGCGATACAAGCCTGTAGCATACACGGGAAAGTATGCACTGATTCAATGGTGAAAAGATCTTTATTATTGAAATATTTATTTACATTTAAGATGATTTCCTTGAAATTCATTTCAAGCATATCCTTTCTGACCCTGATATTAAAAAACAACATGATTTCACATGATTTATGTATCAGGTTATTCTTGAAATGAGTGTCCATTGGTGGTACACTTAGTTGTAATTTTGAAAAAAATGCCATAGAAGGAGTAGGCCTATCAATGAATCATATGTCCCTAAGCATACCATCAATTTGCACAGATATCTAGTCTAGGTTGTGTCATTTATAACAATTCCAACTGACTGAAAGCCTTTATTATCAAATCAGTATCAAATTGAACCTAAAATAAATAAACCAAGTACAAACGAACCGATCTGCAAAATAAAACCCACATATTGGTGTAACATTAAAAGCAGCCAATGAACTTTTCAACCATAAACAAGTAAGCAATTCATAATGAAAAGTGGTACCAAGTGTCTAGAAGGGTAAGCATACCCTGTCTGGTGCCACACCTAGACTTACCAGGAACAGTATTATCCAGAACAAATGCCACAAAGCCACCAATAAAACCTCCGTTAGAAATCAACATTAATATAACGTTGTCCACATAGGCATTACCTGAAAGTATCATGAAAATTGTTCTCTTTTAACAGGCATTGCAATATCTTCAAAATAATTTTGTTTTCCTTCTATTTTTAATCATTACTTATATAGAACACAAGATTAAAATAATTCAACCAATCAAATAATCTGTTTTGTATGACTCCTAAGCAGCGTTGCTTTTACAGAACAGAATGGACAGCTTTTTCATTTCCTCTCTTGAATTACTCATTCATTTGTAATGCAGGGATCCCAGTGAGAAATAAAGAGAAAAAAAGGAGGAAATAGAAAATATTAGCTGAGGTTAAGAGGATCATTGGTCTAAAGGGTGTATTTTACTATTTTAAAATCTTTCCTATAGAGGAATCTTTTCATCCTCAAATAACAGTTTTAGTGGTTGTATTCGAAAAAAAAAAAAAATATTGGCCAGAAGAGTAGAGGAATTTACAGATATACAAGATTTATACAGGGCAATATTCTAGAAATGATTCAGACATTTGCATCCTTTGACCAAATAAAACACTGGGTTTGAGATCAAGCTTATATCAATTATATTACAGAAAGAGGCTGTTCACAAATTTCAATTTGTTATAGAATAAAAATATTAGATTATTATACATACCGGTCTGGATTCCATTTTGATTCTGTGCTGACCAATATGGCAACATAAGTCCTAACAATATAGCTAAACCAACAATGGCTAAATTTCGTGTGGAGTTTAAATCAACAAATTGTAAATTTGATAAGATAAGTCCAATAAAAATCCCAAAACTCAGTATCAATGTCCCACCAAGTACTGGATATGGGATTGTTATAAAGAAAGCACTGACTTTTAATACAAGAGCAAATATTACATAAAGTAAAGCCAGCACTTGAAATGTTCTTCGACTGGCTACCTGAAATAGAAAATTTCAGTTCCACTTCAGTTAATCTGTCAAATATTTATTAAAATTGCACAATTGGTGGCAAGTTTCTTGAGATTAATTGAAATGCAGCTGCCAGAAATTGACAAATTTTTCTTAACTTAGGATGATTTTAGTTTTGATTGGTCAATTTCTAAAAATGAATGATTTTAAATTTAGCTTTGTTATTAAATCATATTGCTGTATTAGTTCAAATCTGCATTTTTTCTTTATGTTTTTGGGGATAAGACTCTGAAATATATTCACCTTGGTAACGCCAATAGCTCCAATGTTTCCACCAAATGACACTGTGGCATGACAAGCACCAGTAGTACCAGCAAATAAACTCATGACACCTTCCACAAATATACCACGATTTACAGCATGGGGTGGTGGTGGAGGAACACAACAAACACGTGAGGTAGCATTATAATCACCAATAGAGTCCACCACAGACATCAATGTACCCACAAAGAAACTTATGAAAGCTGCTACACTGAAACTTACTCCACCAAATTGACCTATAATAGATAAAGATGTGTTGCCATGTAAACCAGTAATCAAAAATATTATACATATAAAAATATGTACTGACAACATAAGCACATGGACTTCAGTCTTAAAAAATTGTTTCGGACATCGAAAATTTTCATTGTTGTGTCCATATTATAATAAATGAAAGGAACTGTTGGTAGAGCCAGTGGGTAAAGCATAATGACAGCTTGTCAAGAAAGTTGATGAACTAAATTTCATTGATCCAGATTACCATACCAAGTTTAATATTTTCTTTTGACGTTTTTCATAAATCAAGCGCAATAACTTAAAAAAAAAACGTTCATCGAAAAATCTTCAAACTTAAACTCATGAATATAAATGATCACACCAAATTTCATTAAAATTAGATAAAAACTGTAGACTCTATTGTGTTCACAAACAAATTTAGACGCGTTTTTCCTTAGTCACGCTGAATTAAATCAAAACCGTTTATCGAAAGATCGTCAACTTTGAACTTGTCTAAGATCTCATCAATAAATTTTTGGCATGCTTATGTAAAATGAGTTACTGCCCTTGACTCAGTAATAAAATGGACTTCGACAGACAGGGGCGACGACAATATATATGACCACATTATAATGTGGGCTTATAAAACACAGACGGACAGACAAGAAAATTAGTCTCTGGAAAACAGACTTCTCCTTTCTTCAACAAGGTTAGTCTAGGAGTGACAGTTGAATTTTGTTCTGTGATGCTTTCAAGCTGTCAGAGGCTGATAAACAAAATGGCAACTTTAGTAAGTTCTTTCGGTTTATATGTTTTATCAGCTTTCATCAAATTTATCACTTCCTTGAGCTTACAATAATTAATATTTATAGCCATGTTCATAATTACTGACTTATTAACACAGAAAGGAGCTCAACCATGAATAAATGTCAACAGATGTTGATTTACAACCAGATTAAATAGCCAGCCTAGTACATATTACCCATGCATAGTCAAACATTACTGATTCTGGTGTCGGCTTTCAATCATTGCCAGTGTAAGGCTAAACAATTACCTCCTCAAAAAGGAACTGAGTGAAAGACAGTTCTTCCCTATGTAAAATTTTCTTTCAGTAGCAGTGGAATAGGTCAGTCAGTAACAAAATGAAATAAAATACTTTTCTGCATCATGTGGGCTAATGATGAATGGCAATGCAGGGTGCAACGAGGGTAATTTTACCAGGACAGTGGCATCAGCCTGCTCTTTTTCTATTTCCAACCGTTGATTGATCTTTAACGTGCAGAGTCTGTAGCACACAGGGCCTTGGTTCATTGTCTCATCCAAACAACTAAAAGCTTTTTCAATGTCAGTCCCTCTTACCTACATCAGTGACAGGAGGGAACTGGGTTGAAAAATCTGACGGTATTATCCCGTCCTATGCCGGGATTCCACCCGGGACCTTCAGGTTAGCGAGCAAGTGTGTAACTCACTGAGCCATCATGGCTCCCCAGTCAGTAACAAGACTGATTATCAAGTGTAATTGGTTCAAATCCTGCTTAAGGTGAGAGCAAATTCTGATGCAACTACCAGTCCTTCCTTCAACCCTACCCTGATCACTTATATATTTTTTACCTGGATATGGCAAATAAAACCAAGGACTGTTATATATTATTTCATTCCTGCTATCTGTCCTGGCATAATGATGACCATGTTCTTCATCATCAGACATAGCTCCTGTTACAGTTAATATAGCACTCAATATCCAGCCCACTGCTATTGATATTAATATCTAAAATAACAATTATACATAAGATCAAAGATCAATGACTTTTGCAAGACAGACAAGATTAAAACCCATCACCACTATTTAGTTTACAAAGCTAATGACATCATAATTCCAACAAAAGGAAATAAAAAAAGAAGTGAAAATGTCTTTAACACTATTGAACATAGTTTCTAGAAATAGGGATAAAATAATGAGAATCAATACATCAGACATTCCAACGTCTTGGGAAAGTAGAATCACAAGTTGTTGAAATCAATCCACCATCTCACCGTTCAGATGTTATCTTCTTCTCATTAATTAATATTGGTCTAAAGTCTAAAGCCACAAGGGAGGTAATTAGACTTTGATAAAGGGAATATTAGTCTGCTATCAGTCTGAAGGGAAGAATGGCATATTCATTTCATATGGGCAAGTCATGGATGCATCTTTCACTAGACTTAGACAACAGCTTTACTTGCAATAAATGATTTAAACATCTTGCTTTTTTCTTAAATAAAGTCTCATTCAGTTATTATTTAGTTATTATTATCAGAGATTATTGTTTTTTTGTGTCCCTACCGAGAAAACTGTATGTACAGGATACCACTTGATATGAAACCCCCTCTTTTTATTATAGGCTGGTAGCGGAGAATTTCTACCATTTAAATATAGAGCTAATATTATGCCTGTTATTGTTGTTCTGAAATGGTACAAAAACAACAAAATTATTTTTGAGAAGCAGGAACATTTATTGCCTAGGCGCTATATGTATCCAGTGAAAAATCTCTTTTAAGAAAAAAATACTAACTTGACATAGCTATGAACATTGAAAGGGGAAAATATTGTTGAAGAGTGTAAATATTCAGGTTTAGCTCCTTTAATTCAGCACAGTATTTAACTAACATTTAAAGTTACACTTCACTGGTTTTTCTATTTCTCTCTATCTGAGCATTCTTCATCTCAGACCTTCTACTTTAATCACTGAACTCTTTTAATTACTTTTCATGTTGAGTTTTAGCAACTGGTTTTGTTGTAGTGAGATTCTAATTTTCATAGGTGTAGGATGCTAGTTACTTTTCTGTCATTTTTCTATGTATTGAAACTTCTTCAATACAGATACACCAGTATTTGGATTTATGTTTGTAATATAGTTTCTATATTATTGTGACTTTCTGGAATTTACCATCAGGTATGTTAAAGTTATATACTGTAGTTTATGTAGCCTAGTGTTTCAAGTTCATAGTTTTCTTTGTTTGCCTTGGATACCAGTTTGGCAGCCATGTTTAATTGTGCAAATTTGGTCAAGTTTGTTTAATAAATTTATAAGTATCAAGTAATATATTCCCTTATATGCATTCTATTATACACAATATATATAACCATACATTTACATTCCCTTTTCAGATCCTGTCCCCTAACTTAGGTACTTCACCTAATTTACCTTTACTAAGTTTAAACCCCTTTTCAGGGTAGGTTATTAGTTCTATTAGTTTTATATTATTTAGTAATTTATATTAATATCCATTTGCATACGTGTAATTGCCAGTTATATTTATATGCTTCATACTATAGAGATCAGTAGGTAATTTGTAGTAAGCGTGGATTTTGTTATATATGTTTATCTTATTTAAGAATAGAGATGTTCTACTTTAAATAATTATGTTACTAGATTGTATTATAATCATGTTATTTATATATACTTTCAGGGTTTTTATTGTTATTTAAATAAATTCTATGGAACCTTTATGGTGTAGTTTTGTTATTGGCTAAAGCTATACCCCCTCGACAACATTTGGAGCCCGATAAGGGACTTGGTGGAAAAGTTTGGATGAATACCGGTACGATCTTGACAAGGCCTGAGCTCAATCGCGTGTTACAGATGAAGAGGAAGCAATTTTGGAAGCAGTGACATTAACATTAACTTTATAGTTTGTGATTAAGTGTTTTTGTGATTTATAATATGGATCATTCAAGGTAATTAATTATTTTTAAGATTTATTGAGATAACTAGGATTAGGACATTTTCTCCCCCCCCCTATCCCCAACATTACACTTTGCATTTCATTACACTACACTCAAACATTACATCAACATTACTTGTAACTAATTATAAAATTTCTTTCAGTAATAAGATTAGGAATAGTTGTAATTTCATCGCATAATTTTGTATTGTGTTTCTGGATTTTTTTTTTTTGGTTTCGATGTCACTTATAATTTCGTCTTTGAGTTTCGTAATTGGATTGTGGACTTTGATTTGATTTTATGTTTTGGCTTCAGAGTTTTGACTTTGATGTTTCGACCTTGACGTGAACTTTGACTTTTCATTTTTTGGTATTTTGGATTTTGAATTTGGACTTTGATAATTTTTGTAGTTTGTATTTCGTGATTGTATGTTCAACATTTATTCGGTTTTGGATTTTCAGTTTTTGAATTGAAGTTGATTGGGGTATATTGTTATTTTCATTTGTGATTTTGGTCTATGAATTTCTGGTCTATCTCTGTATTCTGTTCTATTCTATTTTGCTTGTCACTGTGTTCATTTGCAATTGCTACTAACAAAATTTATGCACGTGGATGGTGGTTATAGTTGTATTGTCATTTTGAGTTGATTGTATTTTGGGTTTTGTGTTTTGAGTTGATGGTGTTTTGTGTTTTGAGTTGATTGTATTTTGGGTTTTGTGTTTTGAATTGATGGTGTTTTCAGCTGAATGTGTTTTGAGTTTTGGTATTCAAGTTGATTGTAGTTTTCACCAAGTTGGTATATTTTTGTATTTGTACTTGTATTGAGTTTCATATATTTGTATTGTATATTTTGTGTTCTGCACTGTGAGTGTTGTATTTGTACTTGTATTGAGTGGTTGAGTAATTGATTATGTGTTCTGCAATACTGCATTGTGGGTGTTTATTTGATTGATTTTGTGTTTCAGTTATTGCGTTTGTGATTTTTATTTGTATTCATTTTAGTGTTTGTGCTAATGGTTTTCAGTATATAATTGATATTGTTTATATTTGAGGTTTGTGTTTGTGATATGGGTGAACCTATTATGTGTGTATTACAGTGTTTTTGTAAATCGGATTGATTTTTGTGTTTATATTCTGTGGTTGTCATTGTTGTATTGATACCATCATGGCTTCTGGAGGTAAAGATTTACTGGATCCCTTATCAGAGGAGCAGCAACAGATCGTTGATTCTTTCACTAGAATGGGTATGATGAGTGTGTTACCTAAGGCTCAGAATGCAGGTCAGTTGAATGATTGGATGTTTGGGTATTTAAAGTCACAGGGTGTTATACCTGAGGATGTAAGTCCTATTCATTCTGTAAGGAAAGAGGAGCAATCATATTTCAGTCATGATCCCTCATCTCCTGTAGCATCACCTAAAATGAAATTGACTTACACCCAACCACCCAGGATTTCTTACTTCTCTGGCGATCCTACTAGTAAGGATACTCACTTTGATTTATGGCAATTCGAGGTGAAGAGTCTCTTGAAAGACAAGCAGTATGCACCCGAAGCCATAAAGACTGCAGTGATTAGGTCACTAAAGGGTGAGGCTGGAAGGGTGGCAATGAGGCTTGGTCATTCCGCAACTACTCGAATGCTGTTAGAAAAGCTCGAGAGCAGGTTCGGTAAGGTAGAGGAAGGCCAGTCTCTATTGTCACAGTTTTATTCAGCAAGTCAACAGGCGGATGAAACAGTGTCTAAGTGGGCTTGTAGAATTGAAGACATATTGGATAAGGCACGTCAGGAGAATGAAGTGGACTCAGAATCATTTGAATCGAAGTTGAGAGTCAAATCCTGGAGTGGACTTCGTCAGGAATTGAAGGATCGTTCCGCTCATAAATTTGACAGGTTGACTGATTTTGATGACCTCCTGAGAGAAGTTAGAAAGTTGGAAAGAGATGTTACAAGTGAGAGTAAAAATTCTAAGCTGACGAAGACACACAGTAAGATGGTCCAACAGTCGGATGATGACCTTAAGAGTTTAATAACATCATTGACCGGAACTGTTAAAGAACTTAAGGGTGATGTGGCTCAGTTGAAGGGACAGTGTCAATCTTCAGAGAGTTTGTCTGCTACAGTCTGTGCTCTTCAGAGAGAAGTTAGGGAAATGAAGGCAGGTAATGGATCTTTTGCAATGGAATCCAATGTGCCCAAGACATCTACCCCCAAATCTTCTACTCCAGTTCCTTGGAAGAAACAACAATTTACTTGTTTTCGTTGTGGTCAGGTTGGTCATGTGGCTATTGGGTGTAGAAATCCTAAGAAGGATTTAAACTAGCAAGTGTCACTAATGAGGGACAATTAGTTTACAGTTTAATACCCAGTCCCAGTGAAAAGAAGTTGATAGGCCACAGTAACACCACAGCTGTGGAGATTAATGGTTGTATGACTACAGGGTTGTCAGACACAGTTTCAACCATTTCCACTGTATCACAGTCTTACTTTGAAGATTTTCTGAAATCAGAATCTTGTAGTTTGACTCCATTGACAGAGATACTGGTAGTTGAAGGTGCAGGTGGAGATATTTTGCCATATCTGGGTTATATTCTAGTTAACCTTAAGGTTCCTGGTCTAGGATCCATTGATTTAGATTGTTTATTTCTTGTTGTGCCTGATACACCTTTTAACAAGACAACACCAGTACTTCTTGGCACTAATGTTCTTAAACCACTGAAGGAATAGTTTACACAGAGTGGTTTACCCACTGACACTTTACCAGATGTTTGGTCATTTACCTTCAGCTGTATGCAGGTACAGGAACGACAGTTGTCTGGTAAAGTTGGGTGTGTAAGATTCTGTGGGAACAAATCGATGACAATAGACAGCAACAAGACTCTCTGTATGGTTGGTAGGATTAGCAACTTGTCCGTGCATTGCAGGCAAAGGGTTCTCTTTCAGAGGTCGGAGGATTCAGCTCTCCCAGCTGGTGTGGAGGTTACTCCGACTCTGATTGAGGTAGACCCAGGTGTGGATACGCAAGTTGTTGTTAGAGTATCTAACCTTTCCCTATCACCAGTCAGAATTTTTCCACACTCCGCACTGTGTGAGTTGCATGTTGTTGAATTGGCAGTGTGTTTTTTCCAAGAATGACAAGGACATAGGAAGTGTTAGTTTGGTTAAGCATAAGATCAGGCTCACCGACGACATACCATTCAAGCAACCTCATAGGCGAATACCACCAGCAATGTATGAGGAAGTAAAACACCATCTCGAAGATCTACTGGATGGAGATATCATTGAGAGGAGTTACAGTCCTTACGCATCACCGATTGTTCTGGCTCGAAAGAAGGATAACTCTCTCCGTATGTGTGTAGATTACAGGATGCTGAACAACAAGACTGTGAAAGATGCGTATGCGCTTCCAAGGATTGGGGAGTTGCTCGACAATTTAGTGGGATGTCAATATTTCAGCGTGGTTGATATGAAAAGTGGTTATTACCAGCTTAGTGTTGATGAAGATGATAAACCGAAAACTGCTTTTACAGTAGGACCTCTTGGGTTTTATCAGTATAAACGTATGCCGTTTGGTTTAACCAATGCTCCTGCTACATATCAATGGGTAATGGAAGATTGTTTAGGAGACCTCAACTGGAAGATCTGTGCCATATTTATTGATGACTTGATCATTTTCAGTAAAACATATGAAGAGCATGTTGAGAGGCTAGACAGAGTGTTCCAGAAACTTAAAGAACATGGGATAAAGTTGTCGCCTAAGAAGTGAGTTTTTTAAGAAGGAGGTTTGTTATTTAGGTCATATAGTGTCAGCAGAAGGAGTTAAGATGGATCCTAAGAAAACTGACAAGGTATCATCTTGGCCTGAACCTTCTAACCCTGATGAGCTGAGAAGTTTTCTTGGTTTCGTAGGGTACTATAGGCGTTTCGTCAATCAGTTCTCTGTCATTGCTAAGCCTTTAAATGAATTGTTAATTGGAGGACCAATTTCAAAGAAGAGGAGACCAAAGGTAAAGGATATCAAGACATCAGCCAAGTGGAAATGGGGTGAGGAACAGCAGCAGGCTTTTCTGAAGTTGAAAGAAGCACTGGTTAGTCCACCTATACTAGCATATGCTGATTTTACAAAACCTTTCATATTGCATACTGATGCTAGTGGTGACGGTTTAGGTGCTGTTCTCTATCAGGAAACTGATGGTAAAGAGAGGGTAATTTCCTATGCCAGTCGCTCTCTATGTAGGTCAGAGAGGAACTACCCCACTCATAAGCTTGAGTTTTTGGCACTCAAATGGGCAGTCTGTGAGAAATTCCACCAGTATTTGTTTAACTCAAAGTTTACTGCTTATACCGACAATAACCCTCTGACCTTTATTGGCCAAGGATGACTAGTGATATTGATGAGTATATCAGAAAGTGTCTAAGGTGTTTGAGGAGAAAGGCTATACCATCAACTTGCCCATTGTTGAACATCAAGACAAGCAGTCCACTTGAGCTAGTCTGTATGGATTATGTGTGTGTAGAACCTAGTAAGGGTGGATATGATAACATCTTGGTACTTACAGACCACTTTACAAGATACACACAGGCTATTCCAGTTAGGAATACTACAGCTAGAACAATAGCTAAAGCCTTGTTTGATCACTTTATTGTGCATTATGGCATCCCTCATGGACTTCATAGTGATCAAGGACAGCAATTTGAGGGAAAGGTGATTAAGGAATTGCGTCAGGTTACTGGCATGACTAAGTCAAGGACAACATCATACCGTCCCCAGGGAAACGGGCAGTGCGAACGATTTAACCGTACGTTACTTAACATGTTAGGTGTTTCACCTTTAGTACACGCTTATAACAGTACCACCCACTCGGCAACAGGATTTTCTCCTTTTCAGCTCATGTTTGGACGGAAGCCCATACTTCCCATTGATGTTGTACTTGGACTCGTCAATAAAGGTAAAGAGGACATTAAGAGTTACAACACCTATGTGGATAGTTTGAAGGAGAGGCTTGAGTTTGCTTATCAAACAGCTGCTAATGAAGTGTCAAGGAACCACCAGAAACAGAAAAGTAAGTTTAATCTGAGGGCCAGGACCAACATTCTTGAAACAGGTGATAGAGTTTTAGTTCGAAGGTTAGCTTTCAAGGAGGGACGACACAAAATAGCAGATAGATGGGAGGAAGAGTGTTACAAGGTAGTACGTCAACCGCACACAGGAATTCCAGTTTATGATGTGGTAAAGGAAGATGGAAGTGGTAGGGTGCGTACTCTTCATAGAAACCATCTGCTACCAATCAGTTCGGTGCCTATTGAAGATGATATAGGAGTCAAAAGACCGCAGCCCAAGCCAAGAACAAGGACAAAGACCAACACAACTCAGGAACATCTTGAAGAAGATTTGGAGGGAGAGACGATGAAGATGATGATCGTGGGTATAGGGTGGAATTGGTAAACTACTTACCAACAGCTAGCTCCAGGGATATCCCGGTAATCAATGAAGATTTGACTGTTGTACCTGACCACGAGGTAACTCAGGATGATGTTGACAGGCCTACAACATCAGTTGCAACACCAGATGTTTCAGATGAGTCAGAGGTTTCTGATAAATCGTCTGCAAGACCTCCTAGGAGATCCGATAGATCCAGACGAACTCCAGCACGTTTTACGGACTATGTTATGTCCCAGCAACAGGTAACTTCTACCCATCAGATGCGAGCTGAGTTAGCCAGATCTCTTTTACCATCAAATTTTATGTTATTAACACCTGACAGGCTTCAAGTTGTTTTGTCAATGTTGCCGGAACTGTGTAGATCGTTATTTCCGGATTTGTTTTCAGTGCATTAGTACAAGCACAGTTATAAGTGTAGTTTTAATCTGTATTCAGTTTATATATATAGTTTGTGGGATTTTGGTTTTATTGGGAAAACTATGTTTTATTTGATTTCCATAGTACTGTGGTAATTTCTGCCTTGTTTCAGTCAAGTTTATGACTTGTATGGAAAAGTATTTTTCAATGTTTTCATAGTTTTAAAGTTTGAAAGTTGAGGACAACTTTTCCCGAAGGAGGGGAGAATGTTGAAGAGTGTAAATATTCAGGTTTAGCTCCTTTAATTCAGCACAGTATTTAACTAACATTTAAAGTTACACTTCACTGGTTTTTCTATTTCTCTCTATCTGAGCATTCTTCATCTCAGACCTTCTACTTTAATCACTGAACTCTTTTAATTACTTTTCATGTTGAGTTTTAGCAACTGGTTTTGTTGTAGTGAGATTCTAATTTTCATAGGTGTAGGATGCTAGTTACTTTTCTGTCATTTTTCTATGTATTGAAACTTCTTCAATACAGATACACCAGTATTTGGATTTATGTTTGTAATATAGTTTCTATATTATTGTGACTTTCTGGAATTTACCATCAGGTATGTTAAAGTTATATACTGTAGTTTATGTAGCCTAGTGTTTCAAGTTCATAGTTTTCTTTGTTTGCCTTGGATACCAGTTTGGTAGCCATGTTTAATTGTGCAAATTTGGTCAAGTTTGTTTAATAAATTTATAAGTATCAAGTAATATATTCCCTTATATGCATTCTATTATACACAATATATATAACCATACATGTACATTCCCTTTTCAGATCCTGTCCCCTAACTTAGGTACTTCACCTAATTTACCTTTACTAAGTTTAAACCCCTTTTCAGGGTAGGTTATTAGTTCTATTAGTTTTATATTATTTAGTAATTTATATTAATATCCATTTGCATACGTGTAATTGCCAGTTATATTTATATGCTTCATACTATAGAGATCAGTAGGTAATTTGTAGTAAGCGTGGATTTTGTTATATATGTTTATCTTATTTAAGAATAGAGATGTTCTACTTTAAATAATTATGTTACTAGATTGTATTATAATCATGTTATTTATATATACTTTCAGGGTTTTTATTGTTATTTAAATAAATTCTATGGAACCTTTATGGTGTAGTTTTGTTATTGGCTAAAGCTTTACCCCCTCGACAACAATATCACACAAACTTCACACAAAATATGATCCATTGGAATTCAAAACAAATGAAATATCATATTGATTTCAAATTATCATATATATCATATCTTTATTTTATACCGTGAAATATAGTTATTACTGTATAAATATATATTACATTTATTCACAGTTGATTAGAAACCAACTGTCTGTAACAATTGAGGATTTAAATTCTTTGTTTATCTCTTTTTTAATTTTTGGGAAAATTATATGATAAATATCTATATAAACATTTGACTTATGATAATTAATCATATCAAGATGTGATAAATAATTAATGATAAATACACAATACCAACAACCTGACCTGATGTTGCCCTGAATTAGCTTTAGTTTCAATTAAAAATTAACTTACACAGCTGCTACTCCCCAATGTTTCTCTGAAAAACTAACAGCTATTGTATAGAATGACATGGCAACCAATGTCATGGCCGGTGCTATAGTAATTGGCCCGAGATATCGTGTTATAGTACCCACTAATCCTGTTAATCCAATGAGGAAGTGCAGAATGCCTGCTGCAATGAGACTACCTGAAAGCTGAAGAAAATGTCATTGTACTTTTTTGCATTAAGGGGAGGTAATAGGCTACTAGAATCCTAGTGACTTCATGACTTGATCTCAAGTAATATATTCGACTCAATTTTTGCTCTCCGTTTCTGCTATTAAAGTAGTTTTTGAAATGAAAATGAGATATGTTATTTATGTAATTTAAGAAAAATGTAAGGGCTTTAATGATCTCACCACATTACTAAAAATAACTGTATAACAAAAACTATGCAAGATAAGATGTTCTGATCACAGAAATTGTGCTCTATTAACATGGAAATCCATTATTTCAATGACTAATCACTAAGCAATAAATCTACAGTTTGAATCTGATTTTCTTTACATGAAAACTCGGAATTTGTAAATTTTTGCATCACACTCTTTGGTACTTTCCTTTCTAATATTATAATGGTTGATAAACATAATGTTCGCCAATAGCTTATCTTTCTTCTTATTACAATGTTATTTCAAAACTACACTAAATGACACAATATATTTGACCCACTTTTAACCTACATATGCAACATTGCCAGCTCACATTGTTCCCAGTATATATTTTGTTATAGTATGAAAAATATAAATACATGAAAGAGAAACTCACGGCCCCTATTTTATCATAAATAATATCTTCTGTTAATGTAGCATTACCCGCAGTACCATTAATAACATCTAAATTGGAATCTTAAAAAAAAATGTTACATAAAAGGTCTAGACACCATAATTATGTCCTCACGAAACCAAAATAAAATTACATTTAATTTCCCATTTAATTACCCAGTAGTTTACTGCAAGTCACATAAATTATGTAATTACACATTTTCAATCAAGATATTCTCAATAGGTTTGCACCCAACATTGGTAATATTTGTAGGGACCATTTTTATCACACATATTCTAGAATTTTCCAAGTTAGATTCCACAGATCCTAAAGACTGTTCCAAGACGAACAGTAGAATATGATGATATTGTTTCAACAAACTAACAGGTGACTGCAAACAATCTAAGCAACAATTTGAATGTAGGGTGCAGACAGAATTTGGACAAAAATATATGTTGGAAAAGGTACTTTTAGTACCAACATTTGAAGGTTCCAATATAGCAATTTGATAATTAACCCTAATAAAACCAAAACACATTACAGAAAACAGGAAATTACCTAAACTATGACTCACCTTTTGCATAGTTGGTACATTCCATGCCTTTAAATGATGCCATAGCTAACAATGGTATTATATAGGGGATACATGGTCCCTGGTATATTGGCAACCTGAAATCATAATACCATAATAATATATAATGTTATATAATGTGGTACCACAGCCATTTATATACTCAGTCATAGTATGCAAGGGGTTGGGAATATGTAAGCTCCTCAAACGAAGGAAAACTAATCTGAAAAATCGAAAAGTTTAGCTCAACCAATGAGGAGCAGAATGAACATGTATCCATTTGTGCTGGGCTTGAACCCTAGACCTGCAGGTTATCTAGTAAGTGGCTGTGATAGAGTGATCAACTCTCTCATTAACACCAAATACAAATACTTTCTTACCTAACACCAAATGTTGACATCAGAAAAGTTGATATGCCAGAAATCAACATGGTTGTACTCAGTATCTTGGTCTTGATGACATCATCATCTTTAGCACAAACCACTTCGGCAACAAGTAATGATATAGACATGGAACTTGAAATCGATGTAAGAAGATGCTAAAAACAACAAAAACTTATCATTGATATTGGATGCTTCTTTGTATCTACCTAATGCAGTTTTTATGGCTTTCAGACTTAAGCTTTTTGCTGCAATTTGGATGAGAATTTGTTTTCTTCTTGTGATGGTGTCTGACGTCTGGTGATCTTGAATAAGTCATATTCCCCCCTTATTATAATGACCTAGCTTAAAATAGTAATTGATAATCCAGTTAAGGATCAATACAAAGATGTTTGGCAAGGGACCAGTTCACACACCAGGTTCCTTGTGAACCTTAGAGGCTATCCTTGGAAAAAAATGGTTCATTCTTTCCTTATTACCATTAGTCCACAATGGAATAAACTTTGTTGAACAGAATACCCGTTCATGAAAAAGTGCAATTCTACCAAAGTTAGTGGTTTGACGAAAAACTAACCTGAATCCCAAATAATATACACATGTGGAATGGAGGATTTTCACTGATGGTATACAACAGACGTCTTTCCTGTTCTACAATTATCAGTTCTCTATCTGGTATCTCAGTATCATTTTGATAATCATTATCTTCTGCAGGGGTGATTAAAAAATTGCCTGGTGTTATTGTCAATGGCACTATTTCATCCTTACAGTTGGTGATCTCTATCACTGGATGATGATTGCTTTGTACTGCATGATTGTTTACTGCATGGTTGTTTACTGTATTGTTGTTTACTGCATGGTTGTTTACTGTATCGTTGTTCATCTGTAAAATATAGTGTTAGTGATCATTACTGCCGTTTAATGCTTGATTGTTCATCTGTAAATCAAATAATAGTGATAATATTGCTGTTTATCTGTAAAATATAATATAGTGATAATTAGATATAGGTTAATAATTGAAAGCAGTTTTATAAGTTCAATATTCAACAAGGACCGAACGTCTAAATAGGACCCAAATGGTACTATCTTTTAAACATTTCTGAAATGAGACCCAAATGGGTACTATCTTTTAAACATTTCTGAAATGAGACCCAAATGGTACTATCTTTTAAACATTTCTGAAATGAGACCAAATGGGTACTATCTTTTAAACATTTCTGAAATAAGACCCAAATGGGTACTATCTTTTAAACATTTCTGAAATGAGACCCAAATGGGTACTATCTTTTAAACATTTCTGAAATGAGAACCAAATGGTACTATCTTTTTAACATTTCTGAAATCAGACCCAAATGAGTACTATCTTTTAAACATTTCTGAAATCAGACCCAAATGGGAACTATCTTTTAAACATTTCTGAAATGAGACCCAAATGGGTACTATCTTTTAAACATTTCTGAAATGAGACCCAAATGGTACTATCTTTTTAACATTTCTGAAATGAAATCCACAAAAATTAGCCCCTACAAATAATAATCTAAAACTTACCATTTACTTAAGCCTCTATAATATAAATTCTCAGAATGTTTACGATATATATCTGAGATCTTGTAAAATATAAGTTGACAATATAATAGTCACATCATTGACATAAGCTATATAGTTCTAGACCATGTCAACGTTTACTCAACTATATATTTATATACAGAGAATACACTTTTCTAACAAAACAAAATTGTGCCAATGAGGTCATGATGAACCTTTTGTATATCTATAACTGCTCTACCTTTTCATTGACATCAAATATGCACAAAACATTTTTAAGTCAATACCAACAATATAAATAGGAGTTTGAAGAGATAATATAAAGCTTAAGAGTTTAGGCACTATATTTATAGGGGACTGCCTCTAAGTCAAATTTTTTGAGTCAAGTTGATTAACCCTATACCAATGGGTTCAGGGCCTTAAGAACCTCTGCCAGAGAAAAATGTTAGGCTTCAGTGTCACCATAGTTGTATAGAATATGACCAAAGATAGACTTCAAAATCAAAATTGCAGGATGGCAAGCCCCAATGAGGCTGTGTTGATATTTATATAACACACATAGTAGAAAACTATTCAGATTACAAAGTAGACTAAAAATAACAGAAGATAGCTTGGCAGCCAAGCCCACTACCAGCTGTCAGTAATGAAGTAAAGTGTTTAATAGAGCTGGGTATCGCTTAGCAAATTGAGAAACCCTGTAAATACTAAATTAAAAACATGCCAAAATTCTTAATTTCATGGGTAATTTTTGCATCTTGTTTTGGTTGGTTGTTATAGTTTATCGTGGGTATGTGGAAGACATTTCTACTTAACGGGTACAGTGGAGAAAATTCCTAGGAACGATAATCAATTTTTTCTATCATTTTACCCAGACCTAGTCTTTCATAGCTTAACTATAAATTTTCAAGTTATTTTAAAAATTCATATGAGATAGTTCATCAAATTATCATCTAATTCAAACATAAAACAGATCTCAATGACTTACACAAATCTACGGAAGCGTATTAGGGCCATTCTTTTTTTTTTTTTTTTTTTTGAATTTTCAAGTTAGTATGTTGAAAATTCAAGATACTAACTTGAAAATTCAAGATACTAATTTCAAATTTCAATAAAATCAGATGAAAACTGTAGTCTCTAATGTGTTCACAAACTTAGTGTCCTTACATAGTCAAGTTCAATAACTCAAAAGCCATCCAACAAAGAATTGTCAAACTCAAACTTGACCAAGATCTCATATAAATAGTCACACCAAATTTTTGTTAAAATCAAATAAAAACTGTAGTCTCTATTGTGTTCACAAGCCAATTGTGGACGGACAAACAGGGGTGACAACAATAAAACATTATAATGTGGGTGTATAAAAATCACATAAAAAATCAGTATAACTATGGGATTGACAAGAAAAAGGGTTACTTTTATATTTGTTCAAATTACACAAAATAGTAGATATATGCTATCTATAATATTTTTTTTCAATTCTTCTTATGAAAGAGAAAGCAATTATGATACGACAATGAAGGAGGCCATTATCTACTTTGTATCTACATTCAGCTACAAATTGAATAAGCTAGAGAACAGCTAGAGAATATAATATACAATATAGAGTAGTAGGCGTATGTGACCTTATAAATAATAGTACAAATTAGACCTATAGTTTGGTCAAACAAAATTACATCGTTTTTATCTTGTATTGAACTACATTAGTAAAGCCCATTGATAAGAGGGAACCAGGTTGGACCAATTGTACCTTATTCTCAGAAAGGGAAATATTTCAGATAATCTAATCGGAATCACAGCTCACTGTCCAAATTTTAGCCTTCAAATCCATGTGTGTCCAGAATTATCAGCGAATAACCACTCATCTTTTCTTGAGACATTGTATCAAATACACAATAAAGTAGAAATAGAAAGTGAAATTCCTAATTTGAGGTATATTTGAAGGAATTGTGTTATTTGGTACATTTCTATTACTGGTATTTCCGAAGACTATATACATAATATATTCACGAGACAAATCAACCAACAAAATTACAAAGCTGTCGATTCAAACTAAAATGTTCAGTTTAACCCAAATATACAGTGGGGTTTATTTCATTCGTGGTTTTGATTACTTTATTTTGTTCGCTAAATTATCATTTTTGTTTCTTTTTCTACTATTATTATTTTGAATTCTGATTTAATTCTATTCATTTTTCTTTCTTTCCTTATCAACAAGTGTTAAACCTATATTTATCATGTGACAAATATAAAAGTCTGTTACAAAAAAAATTGTATCTTTAAAATGTTATTAAACGTGATTTATGTAAGCTGTTTCCCTATGAACAGGTATATGTATATATGTTTATATGTATATCTGTTGCGTTTGTATAATTACATTTCATAACTAGGTTGCTATTTCACAAATTAATGCAATTGATAAGTTTTATTTACATAACCTTCACAAATGGACCTCTGATTTATGTCTCTGAAACAAAAAAAAGTCTTGGGTTAGGGACACTGTCTGAATTAATTTCCACTAATAAATTTACAAATAACTTTTGGCATTGACATCATTACTTAACAAATTCATGCCATACTGTTGTGAGTAGGTTTATCATATAAAGGGTATAGAGTCAGTCACAGAAACTCTGTCCCTATCCACAGGCTCTGACAGATGACATTGAAGGCTGATCGTCCAAGGGAGGATTGACATTGTAGTATATTTTGGTCCAGATTGATTTCCTTCTTATGTACTGCGACATTCTGTGTATTACGAAATATAACACTAATGAGTAATCAGAAAACTCTGAAAAATCTGTTCAATCTGACATCTAGTCAGCTAAACCCTTTAACTACAAAATATTTTTTCAGAGAATTTGCATTTTATTTTTTATTATTCATTTGGAGTCATTATATCAAATCTTCAGTGATATTATATCAAATCTTCAGTGATCAAATCTTCAGTGATATTATATTAATCTTCAGTGATATTATATCAAATCTTCAGTGATATTATATCAAATCTTCAGTGATCAAATCTTCAATGATATTATATCAAATCTTCAGTGATATATCAAATCTTCAGTGATATTATATCAAATCTTCAGTGATATTATATCAAATCTTCAGTGATATTATATCAAATCTTCAATGATATTGTATCAAATCTTCAGTGACATTATATCAAATCTTCAGTGATATGTGCTTGATGCCATAAAAATATTCTTTATAACTTAATCTTATATTTTGGCATCATTATGACTTTTAATTAATCTTCAGTGATATTATATCAAATCTTCAGTGATATTATATCAAATCTTCAGTGATCAAATCTTCAATGATATTATATCAAATCTTCAGTGATATATCAAATCTTCAGTGATATTATATCAAATCTTCAGTGATATTATATCAAATCTTCAGTGATATTATATCAAATCTTCAATGATATTGTATCAAATCTTCAGTGACATTATATCAAATCTTCAGTGATATGTGCTTGATGCCATAAAAATATTCTTTATAACTTAATCTTATATTTTGGCATCATTATGACTTTTAATCATTGACATGAACTTGAAATTCAAGAATATTCGAATACCAAAATGACGTCATCACTACCATTTTGACCCTCATCTGTCAGAGCCTGTGGATTAGTGCTGGGTATTGCCAATTATGTCAAGGTACATCTAGTGACATGTCATATTGCGATACATTGATTCACAAATATATCTTGCCAGCACTGTGGATAGTTTCAGAGTTTCTCAGACTAAATGTCATCTTTTAACACTTGATATTTTTGTTCAGGTTCACTGGAGCAAAAATGTTTAACAAAATGAATTTTTTAGACTTAGCTAACTTCAATAGCTATCATATACTCCATTGTATGTTAGTTACGAGATCATGATCATTTGATAAATAAAAAATGAGCAAAAGTTTCCTCATTTTAAAATGATGAAAATATAGACATTGAAAAAAAGGTTGAGATAACTAACTCTTGTACCACAAGGGGTTTTCAACCTCATTCTTTCTTCTTTCCCCTTTCAGGATCATTGATCGAACAATATAACCTGCAATTTTAAATCATAATCTTCCAAAGTTTTTTATGTTAGACTACAAAGTGCCTCATTATAGTGCTGGCATGATATATCAGTCAATCGATATATACGACATGCCACAATGTGCGTATCAGATCACAAGGTCCTGCAACAATACTTGGCAAAAACCTACCATTCCTTAAAGGTAGCTTTCCGTGTCCCTTGCAAATCAAAATTCAAGTTAATAATATGGTATTTTTGTATTGTGTGTCCAAAGATAGGATATTTTTGTATTGAGTGTCCAAAGATATGGTAAGTTTGTATAGGATGTCCAAAGATATAGGATGTTTGTTTTGGGTGTCCAAAGATATGGTATGTTTGTTTTGGGTGTCCAAAGATATGGTACGCTTATTTTGGGAGTCAAAGATATGGTATATTTTGGGAGTCAAAGATATGGTATGTTTATTTTGGGAGTCAAAGATATGGTATGTTTATATTGGGAGTCAAAGATATGGTATGTTTATTTTTGGAGTCAAAGATATGGTATGTTTGTTTTGGGTGTCAAAGATATGGTACGTTTGTTTTGGGTGTCAAAGATATGGTATGTTTATTTTAGGAGTCCAAGATATGGTATGTCTGTTTTGGGTGTCAAAAAAAGAAATGAATGGAGTTTTACGTCCTACTTTTCCGCTTCCGTGTCAAAGATATGGTATGTTTATTTTGGGAGTCAAAGATATGGTATGTTTATTTTGGGAGTCAAAGATGTGGTATGTTTGTTTTGGGTGTCAATTCTATGGTATGTTTATTTTGGGAGTCAAAAATATGGTATGTCTGTTTTGGGCGTCAAAGATATGGTATTTTGTTTTGGGTGTCGAAGATGGTATGTTTGTTTTGGGTTTCCAAAGATTTGGTATGTTATGTTTGTTTTGGGTGAAATATTAATTGTTGGTTTTAAGAGCCAATAGATGTGGTGTGTTTGTTTTGAGTCAA